ATCGCCACCGCCTAAAATGGTGGGCATCTTTAATAAGTATAACCCGTAAAAACAAAGTTTTTCACTATAAATCCTTTATATGCGTGGCAGCGAACTTAATATAAAGGATTTAAAATTATATTCGCCTGTGGAGGACGCGGGGAACGATCCCACGACCTTTGGCATGGGAAGCGAGGGCGCTACCAACTGCGCTACTCCGCCACGGCCTGTGGAGGGGTTACGCTCTGGGCTCTTATACTGTGACGTTCAGCCAAAGCCATGAATGAGTTATATTTGAATATATGTAAAATAATTTTTTTTTGCCTAAAAAGTGTACAATTTTGGGAATTTTTTTTCACGAACATTAATTGTCTGGCACAACGAGTCTGTGTGGAAAATGTCAGCTCGATTGGATCACGGGAAGTGGGTTAAAAAACGAGCGAAAGATTTGCACAGTCGTAAGCAAGCAAGCAAGCACGCAAGCAAGCAAGCAAGCACGCAAGCAAGCGAACTTAATATAAAGGATTAAAAAAAAAGACAACGGCGGCAATTTTTTGTAATTTATAGGTGCCTAACGTTCATTTGTGAAAAGTGAATATCTAACATGGTTGTATCGCAATGTAAACACGATCGCGGTCATCCTCGCCGCGGCGGCTTTTGGCTAGTGGTCGGCGATGGCTCAGCCGTCGATCGAGGGTCGAATTCGAACCGCGTTGTGTGATCGGCATCGCGCTCGCTGAAGGTGTTGATCAGAGGTGTGGACTCGAGTCATGTGACTTGGACTCGAGTCAGACTCGAGTCATGAATTTGATGACTTCAGACTCGACTTGGACTTGCATAACAATGACTTTGTCCCACCTCTGGTGTTGATGCCTTCAGGGAAGTCGTGTCCTGTAAACGCAACTTGTCCACAATTCTGTGAGTCACTTATAACCGCTTTGCCGTTACTTATTGGCAATTATGGACTCAGACTATTGTCCTATCATCTCATAGAGTCCCTGGCACGGAATAATATGCTGCTACACAGTGGCAGTGGGGGTCGCAAAATGCCGATTTATTACTAATAAACCCAAACGATCCGATAGAAATTAGGGATTTCGATCGGATCACGTGCCATCCCCCAATGCCAGTGATCACCACCACCATCGCCACCACCATCGCCACCACCATCGCCACCCCCATCGCCGCCGCCGCCAACGCCGGAACCACCCGGCTAAATGTTCCCGGATTTCACGGGGCAAGCACGCACGTTGGCTCGGGGCTATTGTTAATGTCACGGGGCTGTCATGGCTGGGCTTTGTCCACGTGCAATCCATCACGCAATTCTTCCCGGCAATCCCCGCTATTGTGTTAGAACGCCTCCCTGTGGCTGGGCTAGCTTGCACTGCAGCCATAGACTCTCTAAGCGCCGTATGGCAAAGCCCTCGCTTAACGCGTTAAACAAACGCAACGCGTTATCGGTGCAACGCGGTTCATGCATTCGGGTGGACGACGAACTACTTACTCAGGGAAGTAGTCCGCGGAAGGATACGGTAACGCGTCGTGCACTTTGCAGTACCGTTGCGTTGTTTACCGGGGAATTGTTTTCGTTTCACGCGGCACTCGTCAACAAACGCATCTAACGACATCCGCGTTAAACGAGGAACAAGCAAGTTCCTCGCTTAACGCGGGGGGGGGGGGGGGGGTTGCGTTCCTAAAGAAAAAAATCGCCGCTTGTTGTTGTTATGTTGAATGATCGATCACGGAATCGATTCACCTACAGGAGGGGCGGATGCGGGGGAGGGGGGCGGGGTGTCGGGGGGGGGGGGAGCTAAACGATTTGGGGAAAATATTTAATTGCGATTTTTATTACAGATATTGCGATTTGATTTGCGATTAACTTTTTTAAAGTCAAGCTTCATTTCAATATTCACTGTGTAATAGATTTAGAACATGTGATAGAGCATCACCACATTATACCATCAACATATGAACTGCTCTACATATTCTCATGCAAAGATGAGAACTTAAAGGATATTAATTGCTTCCAACATGTATGTATTAAAATGTTTTAATTGAAATAGAAGTAAAATAAGTAAAGTTATGATAATAAAATAATACAAAATTAAACAATTCCAATTATAAAGTAATAGGACTTTTCAAATCGCTAAAAAAATCGCATCCTTTGCGATTTGCTAATCGCATTGTTTCAAATTGCGATTTCGATTTAAAATCGATTAATTGTTCAGCCCCTAGGGGGGCCGTCCATAAATGACGTCACGCACTTAGGGGGGGGGGGTTGAGAAATAGTCACATCAAAATGCGCAACTTTAAATAAATATAGACAACACGTTCTACTTAATTAAATAGACTTTTAATAAATGTTTTCTCCTACACCATCAGAGTGCAGCGCCACATTAAATACGCACTACAATGACAATAGTTTAAAGCGATTTGAAGCATGTTTATTTTGGCGGGGGGGGGGCAGAGCTTTGTGACGTCATATTTGAGTTCAAGTTCATGTATTAGGTATAGCCCTGTGAGCCATTCGGCTCTTGAATCGGGTGCAACCGCAACAAACAAAAAACATGAACAAGAAAACATCTTAAAGTGAATATGTGACTAAGTGCAAACAGAAAATCCAAGAAAAGACAGCAAAATATTGCAGAAAAACACCAAAGCTGTGTGCAAAAATCCCAGTGGGATGCAAATCAAACAACAGTAACAACAAACACAAAACGACTTAGATTAAGGCCATCAGTCTTACTCCGTACTACAACAATCAAACATGGCCAAACCAGTAAACTTTTCGAAATCACCAAAATAAAGCAATGAAACAGTGATCATAGGAACTGACGGTATTTTCACAATAAACGACAAACAACATGTACTACCAAAACCCTGCAGCCACAGCTGGCTGCATGAGTCTGACTTGGGGGGGGGGGGGGGGGTCAAAAATCGTCCAAAATCGCGTGACGTCATTTATTGACGGCCCCAGGGTGAATCGGGGTGCGGAGGGGTGCAGGGGGGTGGGGTGAGGGTGGTGGGGTGAAGGGGGGGGGCGAAAGGGGGGGGGACGGGGTGCAGGGGGGTGGGGTGAGGGGGAGGGTGAGGGGGGGGTGAGGGTGCAGGGGGGGCGGGGTGAGGGGGGGGGTGAGGGGTGCAGGGGGGTGGGGGGGTGGGGGGGTGGGGGTGAGGGGGGGGGTGAGGGAGGGGTGGGGGGGGGGACGGGGTGAGGGGGGTGGGGTGAGGGGGGGGGTGAGAGGGGGGTGAGGGGTGCAGGGGGGGTGAGGGGTGCAGGGGGGTGGGGTGGGGGGGGGTGAGGGGGGGGGGTGAGGGGGGGGTGAGGGGTGAGGGGGGCGGGGTGAGGGGGGGGGTGAGGGGTGCAGGGGGGGTGAGGGGGTGAGGGGGGTGGGTGAGGGGGGGGGGTGAGGGGGGGGGGGTGAGGGGGGGGTGAGGGTGGGGGGGTGAGGGGGTGAGGGGGGTGGGGTGAGGGTGGGGGTGAGGGGGGGGGGTGAGGGGGGGGGTGAGGGTGGTGGGGTGAGGGGGGGGTGAGGGTGGGGGGGGTGAGGGGGGGGTGAGGGGGGGGGTGAGGGGGGGGGGTGAGGGTGGGGGGGTGAGGGTGGTGGGGTGAGGGGGGGGGGGGTGAGGGTGGGGGGGTGAGGGTGGTGGGGTGAGGGGGGGGGGTGAGGGGGGTGAGGGTGGGGGGTGAGGGGGGGTGAGGGGTGATGGGGGTGGGGGAGGTGGTGGGGTTAGGGGGTGGGGTGAGGGGTGTAGGGTGAGGGGTAGGGTGAGGGGGGGGTGGGGGGGGGGTGAGGGGTGGGGGGGTGGGGAGGGTGGTGGGGTGAGGGGGGGGGGTGAGGGGGGGGGTGAGGGTGGTGGGGTGAGGGGGGGGTGGGTGGGGGGGGGGGTGGGGGGGTGAGGTGGGGGGTGAGGGGGGGGGGTGAGGGGGTGGGGTGAGGGGGGGGGGTGAGGGGGGGGGTGAGGGTGGTGGGGTGAGGGGGGGGGTGAGGGGGGGGTGAGGGGGGGGGGTGAGGGGGGGTGAGGGTGGGGGGGGGGGGGGGGGTGAGGGGGGGGTGAGGGGGGGGGGGGGGTGAGGGGGGGGGGAGGGGGGGGGGTGAGGGGGGGGGTGAGGGGGTGGGGTGAGGGGGGGGTGAGGTGGGGGGGGAGGGTGGATGGGGTGAGGGTGGTGGGGTGTGAGGGGGGCGGGGTGAGGGTGGTGGGGTGAGGGGGGGGGTGACGGGTGGCGGGGTGAGGGGGGGGGGGTGAGGGGGGGGGTGAGGGGTGCATGGGGGTGGGCGTGAGGGTGGTGGGGTGTGAGGGGGGCGGGGGTGTCGGTGAGGGGGGGGGTGTGCTGAGGTTGGTGTGGGTGTGAGGGGGGGGATGAGCGTGGCGGGGTGAGGGTGGTGGGGGTGAGGGTGGCCTTGGGTGAGGGGGCGGGTGTGCCGGGTGGTGTGTTGAGGGTGGTGGGGTGAAGGGGGGCGGGGGTGATGGTTGGTGGGAGTGAGGTGGGGTCGGGGTGAGGGGGGGGGTGAGGGTGGGGGGGGTGAGGGGGGGTGAGGGGGCATGGGGTTTGGGGTGAGGGTGGTGGGGGTGAGGGTGGTGGGTTGAGGGTGGTCGGGGTGAGATGGTGGTAGGGTGAGGGGCGGGCTGGGGTGAGGGGGGGTCCGTGAGTGGTGCAGGGCGGTGGGGTGAGGGTGGGTGGGGGTTGAGAGGGGGGGGGGTGAGGGTGGTGGGGTTGAGGGTGGTGGGGTTGAGGGGGTGTGAGGGGTGAGGGGCGGGGTGAGGGGGGGGGTGAGGGGGGGTGAGGGGGGTGAGGGGGGGTGAGGGGGGGTGAGGGGTGCAGGGGGGTGGGGTGAGGGTGGCGGGGTGAGGGGGCGGGGTGAGGGGTGAGGGGGGCGGGGTGAGGGGGGGGTGAGGGGGGGTGAGGGGTGAGGGGGGCGGGGTGAGGGGGGCGGGGTGAGGGGGGCGGGGGGTGAGGGGGGCGGGGCGAAGGGGGGCGGGTGGAGTTCCCCCCCACCCCACGCTGCCCCGCCCCTCACTCTGCAGCCCCCTTCCGTCATGGCCGCTTGCGTGGAGACGCCGAAGCCGATCGCCTCCCCCTCGACCTCGACCGTGGCCAGCGTCTTCGACTCCATGGAGTACGGCCCGGCTCCAGAGGCGGCCAGCGTGGCGCAGGTCCATCATCATCCTCACCTTGTTGTTGTTGCAATCGACGAGTCTTGCAGCAGCTGCCACCCCACCGCTCGCTGTCTGTGGGTAGTGATTGGGGGGGGGGGGGTGGGGGAGTGGGACAAGAGCTTCATAGCTCATCGGATTTCTCCGCAATAAATATAAAAACGTTCCGATTCCGAGCGAATGACGGCGCCGTCGCTGTCGCCGCCGCTGTCGCCTCGGCTCCGGCCGATAGAAGCCGGAGGAGGAGGAGGAGGAGGAGGCGGGCGGGCGGGCGAGGCCGGCCCCGTGCTTGGGGCCTGCCGCTGAGGGCGCCTCGTCGTCGGCGTGAGTTTCTAGGAAATAGCGGCGACAGGCCGCAGGCTTCGTGTCGGCCTCTGAGGGGGCGTCGATTAATTGTCGATTAATCGTCGATTAATTGTAGATTAATCGTCGATTAATTGTAGATTAATCGGCGTCGAACTCGGTAGGACCTCCTTCCCCATCCATTATTGCGTCCGAGGTATGGACCTATGAGAGTCTGGTGTAATTTTAGAGAAATAGGCAGTTTGAGAAAACAAAATTTGAGCAAATTTTTTTGGAAATGTAATGCAATACAACACAGAGAGTTCGCTAACACAGTTAACGCACCCCTCCCTCCCATCTCTCTCGACACAGAGGCATTGGGTCTCTGTGTGTCTGTGTTGTGTCTCTCTGTGTGTCTATGTTGTGTGTCTCTGTGTGTTGTCTCTCTGCGTGTGTCTGTTGTGTGTATCTGTGTGTGTCTGTGTTGTATTCTTAGGTTTTTTTCGGTAAAGTCACGTAGGTAAAACATCAAAATTAATGAAAATAAAATAAAACAAATCACGACGTCGTGATTTTTGTTTTATTTTGTTTTATTTTATTTTCATTAATTTTGATGTTTTACCTACGTGACTTTACCGAAAAAAACCTAAGAATATGAATCCTTGCAGTCACGAAAGCTTCAAATCTAGAATGTCTGTGTTGTGTCTCTGTGTGTGTCTCTGTGTCTCTCTGTGTGTGTCGCTGTAGTGTGTCTCTCTCTGTGTGTCTGTGTTGTCTCTGTGTGTCTGTGTTGTGTGTTTCTCTCTGTGTCTATATTGTGTGTGTCTCTGTGTGTCTCTGTGTTGTTTCTCCCTGTGTGTCTATGTTGTGTGTCTCTCTCTGTGTGTCTGTTGTGTGTCTCTCTGTGTGTGTCTGTGTTGTGTGTCTATGTTGTGTGTCTGTGTTGTGTGTCTCTATCTCTGTGTCTATGTTGTGTCTCTGTGTGTGTCTATGTTGTGTCTGTGTGTGTCTCTGTGTTATCTCTCTCTGTGTGTCTGTGTTGTGTGTCTGTGTTGTTTCTCTGTGTGTCTCTGTGTGTCTATGTTGTGTGTCTCTCTGTGTGTCTATGTTGTGTTGTCTCTCTCTGCTTGTGTGTCTCCGTGTCTGTGTTTCGTCTCTCAAATTTAGTTCGACCTGATGACGGTTGCTTGTGTTGCAATCGAAACGTCGTACTCTATTATTTAATTTATTTATTTTCTTTCTACGTGACTTTACCGAAAGAACCAAAGAGTAAATTCCTGCTGTCACGAAAGCTTCAAATAAAGTTTGAGACACTGGAAGGGAAACAGATTATGTGTGAAGGTGGTGGGCGTTGGGTTATTTATCGATGTTTAGTTCGCATTTGCCGGTCTTAATTTTGTTCTGTATAACGGCGCTCGCTCGCGCTTATTTAGAGTTGTAGATTTAGAGGACTGTATCGTGTTTTATCGTGGGCACTGGCAACTAAAAACTGAAGTGCGTTTATTCTTTTTTAGCAGGTAAAGCGCCCACTGAGCTGTGTAGCCGTCTCTTTTTTTTTATCCTTTATATTAAGTTCGCTTGGTTGCTTAGGACCGTGCAAATCTTTCGGTCGTTTTTTAACCCACTTCCCGTGATCCAATCGAGCTGACATTTTCCACACAGACTCGTTGTGCGTGACAATTAATGTTCGTGAAAATTTTTTTCCAAAATTTTACACTTTTTAGGACTAAAATATTATATTTAATTACCAATTGCTTAATGGTGCAATGCAATCATCTGACCCATAGGTGGCAGCCATCTCAAGCCAGAGGACGAGAGGACTCTAGCCGCCACGCATATAAAGGATTTATATGTGAAAAACTTTGTTTTTACGGGTTATACTTGTTCAGAAGCGACCCTGGGCCAACGCAAATGCATAGCAGCTCGACGAAATGGGCTGTCAATCGCCTCGTTGAGCTATCGGGCACGGGGAGACAGACGAAGACTTTTGACTTTTTAAACAACTTTTATTGCCGCCAGCAGCAACAGCACTGGAGGCGATTCCGATATGAAATCCACAGTCACCAGCAAACGAATAAACGCTTTAAATCCACGCGCTGTGGCGTTAAATGCAGCGCGCACAACACGAAAGAAAAGTCACGTGGTGGTGGTGGTCATCGCGCACGCCACGGTGACGGGCGAGCGCTTCAGAAGGTGAACACCACGAGGGTGCCGTCCACGCTGGTACAGAGAGGGGCTTGTCCGGCTCCCCAGCGTTCGAAGAAGACGCGCTGCACATCACCGACATGTGTGTGGTACGCGTGCTCCAGCCGGAGCCGCGCCTTGAGCAGGCCCCTGAACACTGGAAGTACAGAGCAGCCGTCAGTGTCACCTTCCAGCATCTTTTTCCTCGTTCTGTACACCGCCATGTTCGCCTGAGCACAGGCGAAGTTGGCGAGGCCATGGCGCTTGTTAGCCAGGTAAGGCACCACCCCATATACGAAGCTGCTGTTGTAGAAGGGCACCCCCAGTATCCTGAAGATGTCCCGCAAAAGTCGGAAAGTTGGTTTGAGCCGCTGGCAGCATAAGTACTGATGGGGCAGATCCTCCCTGGCACCGCAGGAAATTCACAAGTCTGTTACCCCTGGCGAGATTCGGCTGAGCCACACGGCCGATGGAAACGTGCAGTGTGCCAACCTCCACTGGAGGTCACCGCAGCGTTTGGCTACATGAGACTTGTACATTTGTTTCCACTGAGGGGCGGCCGCAATGAGGGGAGAGAAATGGGCTCTCCATTTTGTGTCCTTTGCAGAACAAGGGCTCGTTCAGGAACTGCGCGTGGTCATAGGGCGCGCGTGTTCTGCTCCACTCGAAGCTCCGCCACGCGTCCAAGAGGCTCTGGTGATAACCTGGCAGCCTCGTGTAGTCGACCAGGCTCAGGTCCATCAGGAAGAGCTCCTTTTCCTACCCCAGGCACCCCCCTGCATTCCTCAGCAGGGCGAGAGCCGGTGACTTCCAGGGTAGCTTCTCCCGGTTGTACAGCAGCCGCCTGACTGCCATGAGCCTGAAACTCATGACCCTGGTGGCGATGTCCACCAGACACTGTCTGCCCTCGCCCACCGGCAGGCAGAGAGAGCGAGAGACGGAGAAAGAGCGAGAGACCGAGACAGAGAGAGACGGAAAGAGAAAGAGACAAAAACAGACAGACAGACACGGAGAGAGAGAGACACGGAGAGAGAGAGACACGGAGAGAGAGAGAGACACGGAGAGAGAGACACGGAGAGAGAGAGAGACACGGAGAGAGAGAGACACGGAGAGAGAGAGACACAGAGAGAGAGACACACGGAGAGATAGAGAGACACGGAGAGAGAGACGGAGAGACAGACAGAGAGATGAAGAGACAGAGAGACATTCAAAACTCCAAACAATATCAACACGAGCAGCAAATTGTGACATTTTACATAGAATTGATGGGGCGGTGGGGGGGGGGTTAAAGGTCGTGGCCATCGTGAAGAGCGGAATGCTCGTTTAAACTGGCAGGCAAAATCGCGTGCACCGATCCCGGCAATCGTTGCGTAAGAGTTAATGTGCAACACGACTTTCTAGCGAGGGATCGCGTTTCAACCAGCAAACGTAGTTGCCGCTCGCCAAACAAATGGAGTTTATCTTGTTGGGCTGGAGGCACGCGGCTGGAGTAACAGGGTGGTCCAGATGTCTCGTGACCCTTCGCTCCCCCCCCCCCGGTTTAATTCGCTTAAAACGTGCTGTTTTTTTTAAAGCGAGGTTTATTTATCGATAATATAGGTGTTTTTATGTTAGATCGCGTAAATATATAAATGTGTCGTTGTTAAACCCGCCACCAACCGACACAGCCAACTAGTAAGGGTTGTCACGTAAACAGAACGTGGCCAATTCGTCACTAGTACAGCACGCCGGTGTGTTGGAGAGCAAATCCACAACATTTACAATCTGAGTACGACGTTTTTCCAGTAATTATAACTAGTTTCACCAGGCGACAGCCAGATTTGTGGCGGGTTTAACGGCACATTTATGTTTACGCGATCTAACTCATATTATGGGTGATATTGGTGGTGAAAGCCTACTGCGTGTTAAACTGAACATTTTCTCTTTGGTATGGTCGCGTGCTGGCTACCATAGCAAAGAGAAAATGTTCTTTGGTATGGTAGCGTGCTGGCTACCATAGCAAAGAGAAAATGTTCAGTTTAACACCTACCCGCCCCGAGGCAAGCAAGCGAGCATTTTTTTTCCACTTTGACCTCGTCGTTGTGTCCTCAAGAGCTGGAAATGGCCGGGTAAATTTCCAGATAACATTTTAGGACAAAGTCGAAATGCTGCAACGTGCAAACAAGAAGCACGGTGGCTAGGAGATGTTACCTACCTTGCCTGGTACGAAGGAGGAGGTCGTGGGTTCGATCCCGTTGCTGACGCCTGCTGCTCTAGATTTGGAGTTTGCCTGTCTCTCTCCCCGTGGTCGCGTGGATTTTTATTCCGTGTCCTCCGGTTTTTCCCTCCACATTTATAATCAACGTCAGCCCGGAAAGGCTGACTGCTCCGTGTTAGACAAACTGTAAGCACTTTGAATTTCAAGCTGCTGGAAATGCAAAAGTCTGTCACGTAAACCTCGCAGACGATCCAAACTTGCACGCTGCTGACGTGGCTGGGTCGGCTCAGGGAATTGTAAATGTTGTGGTCGTTACTTTCCAACACACCGGTTAGTGCTGTAGTAGTAACGAATTGACTACGTTCTGTTTACGTGAAAAACTTTACCAATTGGCTGCGTCGGGTGGTGGCGGGTTTACTGACACGTTTATATTTACGCGATCTAACCCCAAAACCGCTGTTATGGGATAATATTGGCCGCGAAAGGCTGACTGCTCCGTGTTAAACAAACCGTAAGCACTTTGAATTTCAAGCTGCTGGAAATGCAAAAGTCGGTCACGTAAGCCTCGCAGACGATCCAAACTTGCACGTTGCTGACGTGGCTGGGCCGGTTCAGGGGTCAGTGCTGAACTGGCATTGCTAAGATCCTGGGGGTTTCAAAGCCAGGCAGGGAGTCAAGTCGATGGCCTCAGCCCTGTCACCAATAACTGAAAAAACCTTCTGCTCCCCCCCCCCTACGCATATAGCCTCCTGCATGAAACCAAATACAGCTGAAAAATATTACAGTCAAACAAATAAGGCCAGCATCAGAACCAAGTTTAATACCAATGAACATTATTGATCCGGTCGTGCGATACAATCACGAGCAGTGAATATCAGTGTGACCCTTGCATCTGTGACTTTTGTGCCTTACACCTCAGTGGGTCCATGCATGCTCGTAAACCTGTGATTTATCAGATGTTCCACTTTATACCAGGAGGGTGGGGTCTCAGCAATTAAGGAGTTCCTGCGGCTGTCTTGTGTGCATGGCAAGAGTGTAACAATACGACAATTAAAATCGAGCACGTTCGCCAAATCGTGCTTGTAAGAATTCGTTATTTCTTCGAGAAGCATTGTTATCGGTCCACCACAAGTCAACTGAAGCGAACTAATCTGGACGCAGGCTCATACGTTGCTACTAGTCATCCATGCGTATGCAAGAATGCAATTTTCAATGTTGTATACCTTGTATGTAGCGGATTTATATTAGCATCAAACGCCATTTCCCCCAGTTAATTTGTCAGCACAGACAGTAAAAAATTAACCCTTAAAACAAAGTTTTTCACTTTAAATCCTTTATATGCATGGCGGCTAGAGTCCTCTCGTCCTCTGGCTTGAGATGGCTGCCACCTATGGGTCAGATGATTGTCTACCAGCATTAAGCAATTGGTAATTGAATATTTTTTTTCCCCTAAACAGTGTAAAATTTAGGAAAAAAAATTTCACGAAAATTAATTGTCACGCACAACGAGTCTGTGCAAAATGTCAGCTCGATTGGATCACGGGAAGTGGGTTAAAAAACGACCGAAAGATTTGCACGGTCGTAAGCAAGCAAGCACGCAAGCGAGCAAACGAGCAAGCGAACTTAATATAAAGGATTTAAAAATTTGATTTAAAGCTTTCGTGACTGCAGGGATTCATATTCTTGGTTCTTTCGGTAAAGTCACGTAGAAGGGAAATAATAAAATAATAAAAATATTAAACAATTATTATTTTATTGTTTCCCTTCTATGTGACTTTACCGAAAGAACCAAGAATACACAGACAGGAAGTTTCTTAAATCGCTCTGTTACTCCTGCAGCTTCGCCAAAAAATTAGCATCATCATCATCATCACCACATTGTGCGAGTGGCCGATTTGTTTGAGTGGCACGGCTGGGGACAATTGCCCATGCCATTGCATACCCGGGTCACTGGCAAAAGCCGTTACGTGCACACAGCAGGGTCTGGGAGGTTTTAATCATTGGTTTGTAAAAATAAAATATCCCCACCCACCGTTGTCTTTCGTACTGCAGAGCTACTCTGAAAAACGGCCGATGCCAAAATTGTCAGCCTGGTTTGTGATATATTGACGAGTGGTGTAGGCGCATTGATATTCCGATTGAAGTCGATGGCTCCGCTCGTGATGGAACACGTGGAATTACGACGCACGTGTGAGAGGGTCTGTTGTTTACAATGTGTGCACATTTTGACACGGGTGATTTGCAAATGTTGAAGTTATGATCATCGAGGACAACGAGGCTGTAGGCGTGGAGCGTAAATTTTAAGGTGAAATAACACAAATGGTGGTGGTGAAAACGATCCAAAAATGTTCATTGATTTCTGAATATAGTCAAGACTGCATCGTGGCAATTTGTTACAGTAATTTTTGCTGTGACGGTTCCACCTGAAGACGGAGGCTTGTGTTGCCTCCGAAACGTCGTGATTTAATTTATTTGTTTTCCTTCTTTAACCTACGTGACTTTAGCGAAAAAACCAAAGAGTATGGTTCCTTGCAGTCACAAAAGCTTCAAATCTAGAATTGATTTTTGTTTGTTTTCATTGCTGTACTTTATTGTATTTGATTTTATTTTTGTAATTTTGGTCATTTAGGTCACGGTCATTTTGGTGACCCAGTTCACTCTTGCTAAAGTCGGCTCATTCTGGTCTCTTGAGTTCTCTCCTGGTACAACAAAATAAATCTGACCTTGAATATAATCTTTTTGTGGCCTGCAAATTGTAAAATGCTACAAGACGGTGTTAGTGATGGATGATAATCGTTTTATGCATTCTCTTACTCACCCCCTTCTAAAAACGTTCTTTTGTATTTAGTCTTAACCGCACATTTTCTTCGTAACTTTACATTTGTATCGATGTATCACTCGGGGTTGGAGAAAGTGAGGTCCGATGGTTTTCTAGGAGACTTTACGGAAACCCTTTCCCGTTCCGGTGACGTAACGTGTGTGTCATCCAAACGAAACCAGAAGAAAAATTAAAATAAATTACTTTAGCAGTACCAAGGCTCCCACAAGGCCATGCGAGATGGCGTGCGGCACAGTTTGGCGCCAGCCATCGTTGATTGCAGTCGCTGCGGATCTTTTTAAAAACAACGGCGCTACGTCTGTCTAAATAAAATTATCCCCTAGCCGCTTGAGCGTTACAAGATTCGGCGGTGAACGGGACGACCCACCCTGCAACTTGCAGGCGTCTCGGACGGGAAAGGGTTAATTACAAGATGTGTAGTTATCTTCGAACTCTCTTATGGCTTTGCGCATCACGAATCTTTGATTTCTTCTACCGCCCTTCTCTCTCCCCACTTCCCTCTGCTCCAGCAAATCACCTGTCTCAACCTACCTCCAATGTGCACACGATGGGAGGTCACGCCTTTTCTTCTGCTGCTCCCTCTGCCTGGAACGACGTTTCCTACACTGTCAGTACTTCCTCTCCGATAGTTTTAATTCGGGATATGTTTTTGTCGTATCATCTCCGTTGCTTAACACGAATTTCGGCTATTGAAATACAAAACACAGTAATTCAACCCGTGTAAACACCTGGATCTTTCCCGTCAACTGCCAAAGATGCTGAACATGCCCTCGAAGTGCACCCAGCGTGGCACAAGCGCTGCGTTGATGCGACCGTACTTGGTGGCAAATGTTGGCTGTTAACGTTGATGTCTGCGTACGTTTGCACGTATGTGCTGCCACTTATGTGAGTGCACATCGCTCTGTGTGTGTGCGTGCGTGTACACGGTCGTGGGGACCAGCAGCGCAACGGTTAGCACAACAACACGATTATCTGAATCGCTCCTGGGCCTCCCCTAGATCGACTCGGCCTCAAATAATTACCTGGTGCGGTGTGTAAACATCGCCACTGGGGAGACAAAGGCGGTCGGGCGTGGTGCTGGCCACCCACCCCCGCATGTGCCGTGCCGGCCTTCATAGGTGCTACTCGCTAACAGCACTTGCCCCAACAGCCTGTTAAGGCTACACGGGGGATCTTTGTCTTGGCATGCTTGTGTGTATGTGCACATCAACCTCTTTGTGTGCGCGTGTAGGCATGGCTGGATTCGCACGGCCGAAGTCTGGGCCACTTTATCGATGGCAAGTGGGTGAAACCAGAGGGGCGTCCCACATACACCTCTCGCAACCCTGCCACCGGTAAACCGTTCTTCCCACATTCATTACCACCACCACTACCATCATCATCGTCATCGTCAGCCATGATCAATCCAGCGCTGGACGACGGCCTCCCCCAAAGCCGTCGACATTGCCTCACGCAAATTCTGCGATGTGATAATCCGTCTTGCGTCCTCACACGAGGCTCCGTCTCCGCGGCGATTGGTTCCATCTCCACGGCGATTGGTTCCATCTCCACGGCGATAGGCTCCATCTCCGTGGCGATCGGCTGCATCTCCGCATTGTTGCGATGCTACGCCAAGGCATCCGTACGACCGCTCATTCGTACCACGCGCGTCGTAGTTTCGTTCATATAAGAATAGGTTTTACCCTTTCTGGCGATATAACAGGTGTTTGAGATGTTAAAACACCAAATAGAAACCTTTTGCAAGGAATTAAGTCTGTATTAACCACACGTACCTGTGGTGAACATGCAAACAAAAAAATGCATCTGATAATATATGCCTTGTTTATTAAACTGATTGGTCTACACCAGAGATGGCTTAACACGTGGCCCAATCAGTTTCAAAGACAATGCCATATATATTACGAGTTACTCGTTTGAGGCCGAGTCGACCTAGGGGAGGCCCAGGAGTGGTTAAAATAATCGTCACCGGTGGTGGCCGTGAGCGGGAATCGAACTCGGACTACCACAACCAAGTACCGTCCGGCCACTCCCTCGCAGACTTCACAGCCACAGACGATGATGCACCACGATCTCCTGGCTCCCCGTATTCACTCAGCGGGATCGTCACGTGCTAGTGCTACGCCCCGTCGATGTTCGGGAGTGGCACGCGCACCCTGCCCTGGTCAAACCGGGGGCGGCACGCACACACGCGCACCCTGCCCTGGTCACACCGGGAGCGGCACGCACACACGCACACCCTGCCCTGGTCAAACCGGGGGCGGCACGCACACACGCACACCCTGCCCTGGTCACCCCGGGAGCGGCACGCACACACGCACACCCTGCCCTGGTCAAACCGGGGGCGGCACGCGCACACGCGCACCCTGCCCTGGTCACACCGGGAGCGGCACGCACACACGCACACCCTGCCCTGGTTACCCCGGGAGCGGCACACACACACGCACACCCTGCCCTGGTCACGCCGTGGGCGGCACACACACACGCACACACGCACACCCTGCCCTGGTCACACTGGGAGCGGCACGCACACACGCACACACACACACCCTGCCCTGGTCACGCCGTGGGCGGCACGCACACACACGCACACCCTGCCCTGGTCACACCGGGAGCGGCACGCACGCACACACACACACCCTGCCCTGGTCACACCGGGAGCGGCACGCACGCACACACACACACCCTGCCCTGGTCACACCGGGAGCGGCACGCACACACACACACCCTGCCCTGGTCACACCGGGAGCGGCACGCACACACGCACACCCTGCCCTGGTCACACCGGGAGCGGCACGCACACACACGCACCCTGCCCTGGTCACGCCGGGAGCGGCACGCACACACGCACACCCTGCCCTGGTCATCCCGGGAGCGGCACGCACACACACACACACCCTGCCCTGGTCACACCGGGAGCGGCATGCACACACGCACACACCCTGCCCTGGTCACACCGGAAGCGGCACGCACACACACACACACCCTGCCCTGGTCACACCGGGAGCGGCACGCACACACGCACACCCTGCCCTGGTCACCCCGGGAGCGGCACGCACACACGCACACACGCACACCCTGCCCTGGTCACACCGGGAGCGGCACGCACACACACACACCCTGCCCTGGTCACGCCGGGAGCGGCACACACACACGCACACCCTGCCCTGGTCACACCGGGAGCGACACGCACACACACACACCCTGCCCTGGTCACACCCTGCCCTGGTCACACCGGGAGCGGCACGCACACACGCACACCCTGCCCTGGTCACACCGGGAGCGGCACGCACACACGCACACCCTGCCCTGGTCACACCGGGAGCGGCACGCACACACGCACACCCTGCCCTGGTCACACCGGGAGCGGCACGCACACACGCACACCCTGCCCTGGTCACACCGGGAGCGGCACGCACACACGCACACCCTGCCCTGGTCACACCGGGAGCGGCACGCACACACACACACCCTGCCCTGGTCACGCCGGGAGTGGCACACACACACGCACACCCTGCCCTGGTCACACCGGGAGCGGCACGCACACACACACACCCTGCCCTGGTCACGCCGGGAGCGGCACGCACACACACACACCCTGCCCTGGTCACGCCGGGAGTGGCACGCACACACACACACCCTGCCCTGGTCACGCTGGGAGCGGCACACACACACGCACACCCTGCCCTGGTCACGCCGGGAGCGGCACGCACACACACGCACCCTGCCCTGGTCACCCCGGGAGCGGCACGCATACACGCACACCCTGCCCTGGTCACGCCGGGAGCGGCACGCACACACACGCGCCCTGCCCTGGTCACCCCGGGAGCGGCACGCACACACACGAACCCTGCCCTGGTCACACCGTGGGCGGCACGCACACACGCACACCCTGCCCTGGTCACACCGGGAGCGACACGCACACACGCGCACCCGCCCTGGTCACACCGGGAGCGTCACGCGCACACGCACACCCTGCCCTGGTCACGCCGGGAGCGGCACGCACACACTCTCACCCTGCCCTGGTCACACCGGGAGCGGCACGCACACACGCACACCCTGGTCACACCGGGAGCGGTTCAACTGAGCCCACGGGCGCGTCGGGAGACTGTCGCCTCGGCGCAAGTTAAAAACGAAGCGAGCGCTGAATCGACGGCTCGCCTCATCGTCGCTGCCCCCCCCCCCCCCCCCACGTGCGCCCAGGCGAGGTGCTCGCGGACACCGTGCAGGGCACGGCGGAGGATGTGGCGCTGGCGGTGGGAGCGGCGCGCCGAGCGTTCACGTCCTGGAGCGCCCTGCCCCCCCACGTCCGTGCCCGCCACCTCTACAGGTGTGTGGGGGGGAGGGGGGGGCGTGCGGGTTGCAGGCGCACGACCACCATGTTGAGCCACGATCGACGGTCACGCGCACGTGTGTGTGCACGCGTGTGTGTGCGCGCGTGTGTGGGGAGCGGTGGTGTAGTGGTGTGCGTGCTGCGCTATGAGCCCGGTGACCCGAATTCGACTCCCGCTCATGGCCAACACCACCAGTGATGATTATCTGTACCGGTCTTGGGCCTCCCCTAGGTCGACTTAGCCTCAAATGAGTACCTGGTGGCGTGTGTAAACATCGTCACTCGGGAGGGCGTGGTGCTGGTCACCCACCGCCTCGTGTACCGTTTTGGCCTTCATAGGTGCTCGCTAACAGCACTTGCTCCAACAGTCTGTTAAGGTTACACGGGGGGTCTTTGTCTTTGTGCGCTATGTGTGTGTTCGCGCTGATTGGATTGTCCCGATTGTCCTGCAAGTTAAAAGTGAGCACATGAAGCCTTTCATTATATATAGTTTTCATAACATTTTATCGTCCTTAAAGAACCCAGAATACAAAGTGGATTTAAAAGAGGGGAAAAACCAGCAGAGAGCGCGTAACAAGCTCGACGTAGCACGTGAAAGCTTCTGAACGGGTGAATTGCGTCTGAAGTGGCTTTGGTAAAAGCCGACAGTGGCGCAGATTCTTGGTGGGTAACAACTACAATATTCTTTGGGTCTTTCGGAAAAGTCACGTAGATAGGGATAAAGAAAATAACAAAAAACCTATCTACGTGACTTTACCGAAAGACCCAAAGCATATGAATTCCTGCAGTCACGAAAGCTTTGATCAAGCCAGATAACCGCGTCAGGCGCAGCGGAGTAGTGTATCATCATCCTTCGTATTTGTGGATCGGGCATTGCGTCCGTATACATTGTACGGTATGTTCTGGATGACCACAGTCGCACACTGCTACTGGAGAGTTTTTCATCTTCCATTTGCGCGTCAGGTATCCGCATCTACTGCCATGGTTTGTGTCAGTGGATGCGGTTTAGGGTGGTCCATGAGCCTCGTGTTGGAAGATCAAACTCGGAGATTGTCTGCGTTGGGTCTTTCACTAGGTGTTTGTTTTTGTGAGCTAGTGCGTGCCGCTAAATAAAGCCACAAGCCAATCCAGTGAGCGAGCCTGTTCGTAACAATTTACACCGACGGTAGAAAGTGTGAAACGTCACTGTACTCGAATTGTAAATGTTGTTGTGGGTCTACTCTGAAACACACCGGTCTGCTGAAGTAGCAACTAATTGGCACGTTTTGTTCACGTGACAAACCTTACTAATTAGCTGCGGTGGATTTAACGGCGCATTTCTATTTACGCGATCTGACCTAAAAAAAATTAACCCGTAAAAACAAAGTTTTTCACTATAAATCCTTTATATGCGTGGCATCGGTTTTATTTTATTATTCATTTCTGTTTTTCTTGAGTAAGAGTTTCATTTTTATCACATTGGTATTTTAAATTAAATATGAAAATTATTTTTTTCCTAAAAAGTGGAAAATTTAGGAAAATTTTGTTCACGAAAATAAATTGTCACGCACAACGAGTCTGTGTACAAAATGTCAGCTCGATTGGATCACGGGAAGTGGGTTAAAAAACGACCGAAAGATTTGCACGGTCGTAAGCGCGCAAGCAAGCAAGCAAGTGAACTTAATTTAAAGGATTTAAAAATCAACCGGTATTTTGGATAATATCGTTCCCGAAAGCCTACTGCTGCGTGATAACGCGTTCACTTGTGCACGCCCCTCCTCCCTCACCCTCCCTCACCCTCCCATGCAGCGTGGCGCGTCACGTGCAGAAGCACCAGCGGCTGCTGAGCGTCCTCGAGAGCCTGGACAACGGCAAGCCGATCCGGGAGTCGCGCGACTGCGACGTGCCGCTGGTCGTGCGCCATCTGTACCACCACGCGGGCTGGGCGCAGCTCGCCAGCCAGGAGATGGGCGCCTGGAAGCCGCTGGGTGAGAGCGGGGGGGGGGGGGTGGCGGGGGCGTTGTTACCGGTGCCCGGTCAGAGCCCTCTCCCGTTCCGAGGCGTCTGCGAGTTGAGAATCAGAATGATTGCCGCCGGCTCCGCGGTGCAGCGTGGAAGTCGATTTGTGCGACCGATGTGGATGTAACTGTGTGCGGGCGGCATCTTCGCCATTGGTTGCTTGCGCTCGCGTGGAAATGTACGATCGGCGATTACAACTCGACGGCTCAAAATTTACTTTTATTTTCCCGACCAAATTATATTTTTTGATATCCGTACTGGGCCCCAGGGCCCTCCATTCCTTCAGCGACCTGCAACGTGGGTTAGGTACAGAATCGGAATCTTCATTTATCCTCGAGGAGATTTTTTTCACAGATGTCCAGTCAGGGCACGGGGTCAGAACATTCCAACAACAAACGATACAAAAACACGATAGGAGTGCAAAGTATAGGAAAGGTAAACGAATCACTTAAGAAAAATATACAAACGAAACTAAACTATTTTTATCCTACCAGGTAAAGCCCACTGAGGTATTAACATTTTTCACAAGCAACCTGACCACAAATGATAGCTCCACAAAGTGGCTTATTGCGTGTAAATGTATAGCAGTTGCAGGGTGGGTACCCCGTTAACCGCTGAATCTCGGAGCACGCGAGCAGTTCGCCATTAATTTTATTTAGAGAGGCGTATCGCCGTTGTTTTTAAAGACATCCTACTCACCGCAGAGAACGCTTGCGACACGACTGCCACTCTATGATAGCCGGCGCCAACCTGTGCCACGCCATCTGAACGGGAAAGAGTTAATAAGCGAAAGATTTTTTCTTCTTGGGTAGAGCTCCGTCTTCCTCTTCGCCAGGGCGTCTTGGAGTGATCTCGCACGCGATGAGTGGCTTATGTCACAACTCACCTCGGTACATTTGAACTTTGGGCACCCCCCCCCACTCCCCCACTCCCCCCACTCCCCCCACTCCCCTCCAGCGACAGCTGTCCCTGCATCAGAGGTCGCAAACGGGTTTTGATTCCTTACCCGTACGCGTACCCGGCCGCACCAGGGTCGCAAATGGGTACTCGTACCCGGCCAGGTACGGGTAGCCGTTCCCTACCCGTACCCATACCCTACCCGAAATGAGTGACAAACGGTTACTCACCAGTGACTCACGGCCTACCCGTACCCGTACCCGGCCGCACCAGGGTCGCAAATGGCTACCCGTACCCGTACCCGGCTGGGTACGGGTACCCGTTCCCTACCCGTACCCGTACCCTACCCGAAATGAGTGACAAACGGTACTCAAATTGTAAATGTTGTGGCTTCAACACACCGGTGGGCTAAAGCAGTGAACTATTTGTCTTTGTCAACGTGACACATTTTTACTGATTGGCCGTGTCGGGTGGTGGAGGGTTACGACACATTTATAAATAAACGCGATCTAAACCCAAAAACGTTGATTATGAATAGGGTATGGGTATCGGGTACCCGGTTGCGACCTCTGCCTTGCATGGCACAATTCAATATTAATTGATGAAACTGTTGAGACTTTTTCCTTGCCAGTCGCTCCTTGTCCAGGGCTTTTGCCCCAGGTTTTGATTCATCGGTCAGATGCCGCCGAGTCTCTCAACGACGTCCCCTCGGCGTCTACCTGGGTACAAACGAGCGTAAATAATAAGTAATATTAAAAAAAAAACTTTTTTTATAACACGCTTTAATGAAATGTACCCTACTGGTAATGGAAGAACTCCAGGAAGTGGCCCCGAAGCTTGCCGTAACGTAAGGGACCGTGGGCAATTACAGCCAACGTCAGTTGACTGTGGACAATTAGACCCAAGCCGAAACATAACATATTAAAAAGATTGTTAACATTTTTTTAAATGATAGAATATAGTATTGTCATCAGAATGACATAAGTATACCAAGTTCGCAGTCGATACCACATTGGGAAGTGGGTTAAAATTGAGTTACAAGATTTGAGGATACAACGACGACAACAACAGACAGAGTGAGTCAATAGAAAGCGTGTAAAAACTAAAGCAAAAAGCAATCCTGCTCGTATTCGGGACATGCGTGCGTGCGCGCGTGCAGGGGTGGTGTCGGCGATCGTGCCCTGGAACTTCCCTCTGATGCTGATGGCGTGGAAAGTGTGCCCTGCCCTCGCTATGGGTGAGCGTCGGCCGGTCTGCGATGGAATGAAACGCCTCCCGCCCACGTCCGCGTGCGGCCGTGATATTAATGACTCCTGTTGTACTGTAACTATGAAACTTTTTATTTATTTTATACCAGGCAAGGCCCACTGAGCTATGTAACTCTCTTTCAGAAGTGACCTGGCCCCAAACGATTGCTCGACGAAGTGGCTTGTCAAGTGGAAATTTCTAGCGGCCAAAAAAACGCGTCGCGATGTTGATTTGAAATGTGGAGGGAAAAACCGTAGGACACGGTGAAAAATCCACGCGACCACGGGGAGAGAGAGACACGCAAACTCCCAAATGTGTTTTGCTCCAACTATGTCAGGTCCACTCAGCTGTGTAGCTCTTTTTCAGAACTGACCTGGCCACAAATGATAGCTCAACGAAGTGGCTTATAATAATAATAATTCAACTTATAAAGTGCCCTTAAAGAAACTTTCTCAGGGCGCTTATCATGTGGAAATGTATAGCAGCCAAAATACTCTTAAACACGTGTTCAGCAGGCGTCAGGGTCGCGATCGAACCCTCGACCTTCCGTACACCAGGCGAGGTTACCTGCGAACGAGTAATTGGATATGTCGCCCCCACGCGCCCGTGCCCCATTTGTCTCTCTCTCTCGTCTCTGTCGTCTCTCTCGTCTCTCCGCGTAGGCAACACGGTGGTGCTGAAGCCGGCCACGTACACGCGGCTCACCGCGCTGCTTTTCGCCGAGGTGTGCGCCGAGGCCGGGCTGCCCCCCGGCGTCTTCAACGTCGTCACCGGCAACGGCGCCTTCGGTGGCCTCCTGGCGGCGCACCCCGACGTGGACAAGGTGGCCTTCACCGGCTCCACCGAGGTGCGTGGACGTGCGGCGTTCCGGCGCGGGGGTGGGGGAGAAAAGCGCTGCGCCCAGCCGCTGACGTTTGCTGCAGGGGGTGAGAATCGGGGGTGGCGCCGGGCCTGGGGTGGTGCGGTGATCCGGCGCGCACTCGCGCACTAAACCCACCAACGTTAAAAGTTTGACCACGGGCCGTGGTTAAAATTGCGACGTGCAAAGTCAGAGCCGGTCCCTTCTGCAGCTTGCGCTCGGCTCGATTGCCAGTCGCAGTTAACATCGTGGGAGGTGATCATTGGGACTGGCCGTGGGGGTCCCTCTTCGCCAACCCGCACTGACCGGCGTGGTGAAGTATGGTCAAACGGCCCTAATGACTGACACAGCAACGCCTTCATCCAGCAGTGAATAGACAAAGGGCTCGAAGTTACGTAATCCAAGCTCCTGATGGCAGGCATTGGGCGTGTACTGAATCGCCCGTCTGTCTACGGCAGCGATTCGATGAATTGTCACGGTTCCGGTTTACGATTCGGTTTAAGGTTGAGTCTCGTTCATTCCGTCCCGCTCGCTCGCCGTCCCGTTTTGCGTCACGCGAGTTTTTGCCTAAATTGTTGCACGGCGCGCTCGGCCGCTCGCGCGTGCGGCTTCCGTGCCGTGGCGGCACGGGCAATTGCTGCGCTCGCTTCGAAGTGACGCTCAGCGCCCAGGTGTCCCGTGGCGCCAATCGTCGGCGGGGTTTTTTCCGTTCGCAGGTGGGACAGATGCTCCGGCGAGCCACGGCAGGGACGGGAAAGAAGCTGTCGCTGGAGCTCGGTGGGAAGTCGCCGTTCGTGGTGTTCGAGTCGGCCGACCTGGACAGCGCCGTCGAGGGGATAGTCGATGCCATCTGGTTCAACCAAGGGCAGGTACCGGCGGTGCCGATTCGGACGTGGCGCGCGCGCGTACTGGGATTCCCCCGGGGCTGTTAATCTACCTGTGCAGGTCCGTGCGTACATATGTGCTTAGTCCCGTACGTACGTAAATACGTATGTTGATATGCACATTCACACACACACATATATATACAGGGTGCTTTGAAAAATGTTAACACTTATATGGGACTATCGTTTTTAATGGATAATACACTGTAGCGTGATAACAAATTTAATGTTAATAGCTTCAAAAAGTCAGAGGGTCTCCACTTGCTCGCCATCGTCGTCAACGCGTGCCTGGAATCTTCTCCAGGTGGTCTCCAGAGCCCGGAGGGCGCTTTGCTCGCGGCGGTGTTGCAAATTCTTGGAAGTGTTCACATTTTTTTGAAGCACTCTGTGTATTCAAGTGCATATCCAATGGCACATGTATGCGAATGTGATTGAGTCTACATGCCATTTTTAATTTCATCGCCTATTCGCTCGCATTGTATATGCAAGCGTGCGTTCGTTATTGGGTCAATTTAAATGCGTACGGTATTTGCTCACGTCCGTACAAATATACACGGTCACTCGCACATATTGAAACGCATATACGCTGACGCATAATATTAAAATGCATATTCGTTCCATGCGGTTGGGAGAGTTGATCGTGATGTCATGCCGTGCATGTCACGCACGCTTCACGTGTGTGACATGTACGTTGAACTCCTTTCGCGCCGTACGTAGCCAACCGCGCCGATCGGAGGGGAACGTCGACTGCATCATCCGGACGACCGAGGAATAAATTTCGATTTAAAGCTTTCGTGACTGCAGGGATTCATCTTCTTGGTTCTTTCGGTAAAGTCACGTAGAAGGGAAGTACTAAAATAATAAAAATAAAACATAATAAAATAATATAATAAAATAATAAAAATAAAATTATTTTATTATGTTTTATTTTTATTATTTTATTACTTCCCTTCTACGTGACTTTACCGAAAGAACCAAGAAGATGCTGCGTTTTGTGTTTAATTTGTTGTACTTCCCCCGCGCCTGTGCGTGTTGCCCACGTGTGTCCTCGTGTGTCCTCGTGTGCCCTCGTGCCCTCGTGTGCCCTCGTGTGCCCGCGCCTGCCGCAGGTGTGCTGCGCGGGCTCCCGCCTGCTGGTGCAGGAGTCGGTGTGGGAGCCGCTGCTGGCGCGGCTGCGCGAGCGCATGTCGCGCCTGCGCGTGGGCGATAGCCTCGACAAGACGGTGGACGTGGGCGCCCTGGTGGACGAGTCGCAGCGGACGACGATCCAGGGCTTCGTGGAGGAGGCGAGGGCCGAGGGAGCCGAGGTGAGGGAGGCGTGCGGCTAGTGTCGCGGGTTCGAGGTCGCGATGCGCCAAACGCACCCGGGGTGGCTTCTCCCGATTAGCACGGCCGGTTACGTACGGTGCGAAAGAAGTTCGCACGTGTGTGGTGTTTGTGGTGTGTGTGTGGTGTGTGTGTGTGGTGTGTGCTAGGGTTGTGGGGAGCGTTGGCGCCGCGGTTAGCTTGCCGGCGAACCCGAGTTCCATTCCCGCTCACGACCAGCACCAGTGACGATTTATCCTAACCGGTTCTGTGCCTCCCCTCGGTCGACTCAGCCTTAAATGAGTACCTGGTGCGGTGTGTAAACCTCGCCAATGGGGAGACAAAGGCGGCCCGGGCGTGGTGCCAGCCACCCACCCACCCCCTCGTGTGCCGTGCCGGCCTTCATAGGTGCTCGCTAACAGCACTTGCCCCAACAGTCTGTTAAGGCTACACGGAGGGGGGGGGATCTTTGTTGTTTGTGTGCAGGGGTGGGGGAGGTGTGCGTGGCGAGGGGAGCGATAGCGTTGCGGTTAGCGTACTGCTCTTCGAACCCGGCGACCGTGGAAAAGTAATCAGGGCTTTCTTTCTGGAATCGTTATTCTGACTTCCTGGATCTTGCCCTGATGATGTTTCCTGCAAGACGCCCGATCCAACGGCCGCATTCGGTTGTGAGCATGCAAACTCCAAATATGCAGCAGGCGTCGGGGTCGGGATCGAATCCACGACCTTCTTGCTTAGTTTCTACAACCCGATTGGATTGGGTGCTATCATTGTGTCGTAGGCATTTAGTGTGTGACGGGTGGGGTGCGTGAGGGTGGGGGGGGTGTCGTTAAATTTGTTTGACCCCGAGCGTTGATCGCGTGCTGAACGTGCGTTGCCCGTGCAGGTGTACCAGGTGTGCGCGAGCCTGCCGCCCAAGGGGCTGTTCTACCCGCCCACCCTGATCACCAACGTCAACACGGCATCCCGGGTCGTCAGAGAGGAGGTGGCCGCACTGTCGCAGCCCACGGCTAAAACCACCTTGCACTTTTGGAACCTCATTTGCCAGTAGAAAATATGATAATTGTTTTTTTTACCCTTCTATCTGGCAACAAAACTGACACCTTTTTTACGAGGAGTCATGTTTGCACCTTGGCTACGTACGGTGCGAAAGAAGTTCAAAACCTCGATAATAGACATACACTAAGTGGGAATTTAGCAGCCAAATACTCTGAACGCGTGACGTTGATTAAAAAAATTGAGGGAAAAACCGGAGGACCCAGAGAAAAGTCCACGCGACCACGGGGAGAGAACGAGAGAGACACGCAAACTCCAAATATACAACAGGCGTCGTCAGGCTCGGGATTGAACCCCACGACCTCCTGCATACCCGGCGAGGCAATTAACATCTCGTGGTGCTGAAGAAGTGGAACATACATACAACATACATACAACATACATACAACATACTTACATAACCCCGGTTATCGACAGTCCAATGTGAACAAAAGTTTGGCGTATGGTTGTGTATGTAAATAGGGACTCGTTCCAATCTGGTTGCGTTAAAAGGGTCGCTAAGGACATCTGGCATAGAGCCCTTGCGTACCAGAGGAGTAATTTCCGTAGCTTGTGTGCATTACCTTCAACAATTTTCTTGAATGCGATTGCATTCGCATACAAAAATTAATTCTGAAATATTCACCGCGTAATTACTGCTGTTTAAATGATCTTAATGGATTGCCCCTTAACCTTTGAGAATCGAAGCATCTCTATTCACCACGTGCTGCCTGTCACAACTGCAGAGCGCTCACGTCCGTGTGCAATTCGGATTTACGCAGCGTCTCCTGTTTAATACAGCTGCATCTGAAGATGCCGTCACATCCACGTGCACTGTACGTTATTAATCAAGTTTCCTGCTGCTGCTGTTGCTGCTGCCACTGTTGCTGATGCTGCTGTTGCTGCTGCTGCTACTGTTGCTGATGCTGCTGCTGTTGTTGCTGCTGCTACTACTGTTGCTGGTGCTGTTGCTGCTGCTGTTGCTGCTGCTGTTGCTGCTGCTACCACTGTTGCTGATGATGTTGCTGCTGCTGCCGCTGTTCCTGCTGCTGTTGCTGCTGCTACCACTGTTGCTGATGCTGGTGCCGCTGCTGTTGCTGCTGCTGCCGCTGTTGCTGCTGCTACTGCTGCTGCTGTTCCTGCTGCTGTTGCTGCTGCTACCACTGTTGCTGATGCTGGTGCCGCTGCTGTTGCTGCTGCTGCCGCTGTTGCTGCTGCTACTGCTGCTGATGCTGCTGCTGTTGCTGCTGCTGTTGCTGCTGCTACCACTGTTGCTGATGATGGTGCCGTTGCTGCTGCTGCCACTGTTGCTGCTGCTGCCGCTGCTGCTACTGCTGCTGTTGCTGCTGCTACCACTGTTGCTGATGATGGTGCCGTTGCTGCTGCTGCCACTGTTGCTGCTGCTGCCACTGTTGCTGCTGCTGCCCCTGCTGCTGCTGCTGTTGCTGCTGTTGCTGCTGCTGCTGTTGCTGCTGTTGCTGCTGTTCCTGCTGCTGTTGCTGCTGCTACCACTGTTGCTGATGCTGGTGCCGTTACTGCTGCTGCTGCTGCCACTGTTGCTGCTGCTGCCGCCACTGTTGCTGCTGCTGCCGCTGCTGCTGCTATTGCCGCTACTGCTGCAGGTCTTTGGGCCAGTGTTGGTGGCGCTTCCCTTCCGCACGGCGAAGGAAGCCGTCGAACTGGCCAACAACACGCCGTACGGCTTGGCGGCGAGCGTGTGGACAGAGAAGCTCTCCCTGGCTCTGGAGGTCGCCTTGTCGTGAGTCCGCTTCGATGAACACGGCGGATTTTTGTTTATTTGTGTGTGTGTGCGGGTGTTTTTGTTGCGCTTTTTGTCAGTTCCCCTGTTGGGCGAAGGCCTCTCCCCCGTGCCGTGTCGGTCGCCGGGGTTATTTTTGTCATATTTTACCGTATTTCTATCGCGCTGGTGAGTGCGGGTTGGTGAAATGGTGTGGCGGGGGACAAGGGGAGGGTGGGAGATTGAGAACTTGTTCGTACGTCGCTCATCGTCGCTGTGAGTCTTGGTCAGGGATCGAACACGGGTCACGGGGTGCAGCGTGCGGTGTGCTGGCCAACGCGCCGCCGGTGCCTGCACCTGTTGGGTTTTTCGGCACCAGTCGTGTCCCAGTTACGCCGTTGGGAGTCGGACTCGTGTGTTGACGAGGCTCGAGAACTGCCCCCAGAATAATGTCGCACGGCTACCTCTATGGACGCTTCAATTGGCCTTTTTTCCACCCAACGCTGCACCTCTTCATACTCCGCAAGCCGTGTTCAGCACGTGCGTGTGTGCGTCACGTGCGTGTGTGTGGACAGAATCAAAGCCGGCACGGTGTGGGTGAACGGACACAACATGTTTGACGCTGCCTCCGGCTTCGGGGGATATCGGCACAGCGGCTTCGGGCGCGACGGCGGCAAGGAGGTGAGAGAGCGAGACGCGCAGGGACAGGAAGGTCTCACCCTGTCCTGTGCAGGCAGGGTTCACAGATTATAACCTTAATTCGTTCAACCAAACCAATGGCTACATTAAACTTTGTTAACGTGTTTACTATTTACTTTTAAAAGAGTAACGATCTCTTCCTTAACCCGCACCCTACCTGGTCCTAGAGGGCATTGGGAGGGATGGAGAAATGGAGGACCCAAGCCCACAGAGACCGATGGCTCATTGAGCGTGGGGACGGAGGGCCTGGTGTGGTTTCTGGGCCATTCCTGGGCCGGCAGTTAATGGTTCCCAGTGATTGAGGAAATGAAGCAAGAGAGACCTTGTAATCTTAGCTGTTGTTGAGGCTTTCCCGGGTAAATAAATGGTTGTTTAACAATATGTAATGTATATAATGTGCGGCCCTTTTGTCAATCCACCGCTGGATGAAAGGCTCCCCACGTATCTCGGTCATCGGGGTGGTTTGACCATACTTCACCACACTGCTCAGTGTGGTTTGGTGAAGGTGGGAGGGGGTGGCGGCGAGTCTGGTTCACACATCGCTGATGTTAGTTTGTTGTCCTGCCGTGGCTCGGGTTCGAACTCGGCTCCCTGGATTCGCAGCACTGACCACTGCATCACTGATTCCGCCCCGAATAATGAAACAGAACTAATGTCAACCGGCCAGGTGGCTCGGCAGCAGAGCGAGCGGCACGCAGTCGGAAGCGTACGGGTTCAAATCCTGGTTGGGGATTGACTCAACCCATCATCCGTGCGAGGGCCAATAAAATGAGTACCACTTTGCGGGGTGGGGGGGGGGTAGGGTGAATTCAACAGCGGTTGCCCTTTGGTTCGACTCGCCCCGGCCATAGCCGAGTAGAATTTCCCCCCACTGGAAATCGAAGGCTGTTAACAGGAGACGTGCCCGCACCTCGCGACGCTCACTTGGGAAAGAGAATGGAAAGAGAAATAAGTATAACCCGTAAAAACAAAGTTTTTCACTATAAATCCTTTATATGCGTGGCGGCTAGAGTCCTCTCGTCCTCTGGCTTGAGATGGCTGCCACCTATAGGTCAGATGATTGCATTGTACCATTAAGCAATTGGTAATTAAATATAATATTTTTGTCCTAAAAAGTGTAAAATTTTGGAAAAAAATTTTCACGAACATTAATTGTCACGCACAACGAGTCTGTGTGGAAATGTCAGCTCGATTGGATCACGGGAAGTGGGTTTAAAAACGACCGAAAGATTTGCACGGTCCTAAGCAAGCAAGCGAACTTAATATAAAGGATTAAAAAACTGAAATGACGCAAACCTGAGCTGGTTCCCGTCTCCCGTCACGCCCTCCTCCTCGCGGTGGCGCCAGGGCCTGTTCGAGTACGTGCGGCCCCGCTGGGAGGAGCGCGCCCGCCCCGACCCCGGCAACGTGGACCTCGCGGCGTTCGGAGCCGCCTACGGGGCCGACGTGGCGCCCATCCCCGGCACGGCCGCCGCCGTCGCACACCCCACCGTGACGGCACACGAGCAGCTCCTGCCGAGGCACGCCACGCCCCGGCTTACGAACACCCTACATACGAACACCCTACTTACGAACACCCTACTTAAGAACACCCTACTTACGAACACCCTACTTAAGAACACCCTACTTACGAACCACCCTACTTACGAACACACTACTTACGAACACCCTACTTACGAACACCCTACTTACGAAAACCCTACTTAAGAACACCCTACTTACGAACATCCTACTTACGAACACCCGGCTTAAGAACACCCTACTTACGAACACCCTACTTACGAACACCCGGCTTACGAACACCCTACTTACGAACACCCTACTTACGAACACCCTACTTAAGAACACCCTACTTACGAACACCCTACTTACGAACACCCTACTTAAGAACACCCTACATACGAACACCCTACTTACGAACACCCTACTTAAGAACACCCTACTTACGAACACCCTACTTAAGAACACCCTACTTAAGAACACCCTACTTAAGAACACCCTACTTAAGAACACCCTACTTACGAACACACTACTTACGAACACCCTACTTAAGAACACCCTACTTAAAAACACCCTACTTAAGAACACCCTACTTAAGAACACCCTACTTAAGAACACCCTACTTAAGAACACCCTACTTACGAACACCCTACTTAAGAACACCCTACTTACGAACACCCTACTTACGAAAACCCTACTTAAGAACACCCTACTTACGAACACCCTACTTACGAACACCCGGCTTAAGAACACCCTACTTAAGAACACCCTATTTAAGAACACCCTACTTAAGAACACCCTACTTACGAACACCCTACTTACGAACACCCGGCTTAAGAACACCCTACTTAAGAACACCCTATTTAAGAACACCCTACTTAAGAACACCCTACTTACGAACACCCTACTTACGAACACCCTACTTAAGAACACCCTACTTAAGAACACCCTACTTAAGAACACCCTACTTAAGAACACCCTACTTAAGAACACCCTACTTACGAACACCCTATTTAAATCCTTTATATTAAGTTCGCTTGCTTGCTTGCTTGCGCGCTTACGACCGTGCAAATCTTTCAGTCGTTTTTTAACCAACTTCCCGTGATCCAATCGAGCTGACATTTTGCACACAGACTCGTTGTGCGTGACAATTTATTTTCGTGAAAAAGTTTTTTCCAAAATTTTCAACATATTAGGATTTTTTAAAATATTTAATTACCAATTGCTTAATGGTGGCAGGCAATCATCTGACCCATAGGTGGCAGCCATCTCAAGCCAGAGGACGAGAGGACTCTAGCCGCCACGCATATAAAGGATTTATAGTGAAAAACTTTGTTTTTACGGGTTAATTTTTTTTAGATTTAAAGCTTTCGTGACTGCAGGGATTCATCTTCTTGGTTCTTTCGGTAAAGTCACGTAGAATGGCCGAAACGTCGTGAAAATAATTTTATTACGTTTTCATGTTTTATTATTTTATTATTTCCATTCTACGTGACTTTACCGAAAGAACCAAGAAGATGAACACCCTATTTACGAACGCCCTACTTACGAATGCCCGGCTTAAGAACGCCCGGTTTAGGAACATCCGCACTTGTGAACATCTGCCCTGATGAACATCCGCACCTACGAACGAGCTTCCAAAAGATTTTATTTAATCCTCCGACTTGCAAATGTGAACTCGCACTTGCGAACGCTTTATTTACTGTACAGTATTTTGTTACAGTGTTACATGCAAGTGTAGATGTTTCTTTTTATGAGTTTAACAATGCTTCCCTTTTTTGTTTAACTGTAACTCGTTTTATAACCCTTACCACGTGTGCATTTAAATACAGTGCATTACTGTGTTCCGATGCACGAACCGTTCGACTTACGAACGTCGGGTCGGGCGTCACAGTGGTGAGATGTTAACTGCCTTGCCAAGTATACAGGAGGTCGTGGGTTCCATCCCGACCCCGATGCCTGAATATTTGGATTTTGCATGTTCTCTCCACGTGGTCGTGTGGATTTTTCTCCGGGTCCTCCGGTTTTTCCCTCCACATTTAGAAACACGCGTTTAAAGTATTTGGCTGTTATACATTTCCATGTTATGAGCCGCTTCGTTGAGCTATCAATTGTGGCCAGGTCGCTTCTGAAAAAAGAGCTGGTGTGGCTCAGTGGGCCTTACCTGATAAAATAAAAAATAGTTCAGTGGTAGACTCACCCCGGCCGTACTTTGTTCGTCGTGTGCCGTGTGGTTTGCTGAGCGTCGTGTTGTCGCGCTGTATCGGCGTGTGGGTCGTGCTGTGATACGCTGCGTGTGTGCGCGTGCGTGTGCGTCCGCCAAACGGCGCAGCGTGGACCGCACGTACAAGCTGTACTACGGCGGGGCGCAGAAGCGTCCGGACGGGATGTACTCGAGGCCCGTGCTTGCGCCCGACGGCAGCAGCGTGATCGCCTACGTCGCCGACGGCAACCGCAAGGACGTGCGCAACGCGGTCGAGGCGGCGCACAAGGCCGCACCCGGGTACGCAGCCGCCACCCCCCCCCACCCCCCGTCGTCGTCGTGCTGCTGTCAAACCCCCAGTGGTTTCAAATGCGTGTGGCGGCCCGCGCACTGATGATGGCTTATCGGCAAAAGTGAAAATTAGCAAAGAATGCTGGTATAAATATCGATTTAAAGCTTTCGTGACTGCAGGGATTCATCTTCTTGGTTCTTTCGGTAAAGTCACGTAGAAAGGAAATAATAAAATAATATTTTATTAATAAAATAATATTTTATTATGTCTTTATTTTATTATTTCCCTTCTACATGACTAACGCTGGTATAGCGTGTATTGTATTGATATCTTAACGCCGGTGTCTCCGCATTGCTTCAAGCTGATCGGGATCGGCTGCAGTCCTCCCGCACGCGATGCCAAAGACGCCTTCTTGGCATCCGGCGGTTCGACTTCGTCAGAAATGTCACCCCTGGCGATCGAGGGCTTAGTTAGAAAGAGACGCCGGCTATCACTTTGTTGGACATGTCGCCCCATCTCGATGCGCGGACTCCAGCAACTTGCGCTCTTCGGTTAGCGGTCGACGTTTGAAGCGAAGACCGCGACCCTCAAAGGAATGGCGCCAACCCCCGTGTTCACCACCACCCCTCTCGCCGTGATCCGTAGCTCAACCAAATCACTAGAGACGCCGGCGTACGGCAGCAAGGGCAGCTTACACGCGAACGCTGCCATCGCAAGAGGTCACGGGTTTGGCGGAAACGGTCCTTCGCTGACTACGCGAGCGACGGGCGGACAAACAAACGAACGAACGCCTTCCGTCCTCTGACAGATTCCGCAGTTGCTTCTGCTGCTTCACAGTCGAGGGGCGACCTCCAAGGTCTAACCTTAGAGTATCCGACCATTTGCTCGTAGGTCACCTGACTCATGGAGTCCACTCCAATGGCTGTCTCTTTAACTGCCCCTCCTTCATCCAGAGGATGCCTTTTTGCGTTTAGTTTGTTGTCCTTCCCCCGTACCTCTTATTAGCACGGTTGGCTATGGACAGTGCAAAAAGAAGTTCAACACACACGTGCCCGCGCAGGTGGGGCAAGCGCGCGGCTCACAACCGCGCCCAGGTGGTGTACTACATGGCGGAGAACCTGGAGCTGCGGCGCGACGAGGTGGCGCGCCGGCTGGCGGCGCTGACGGGTGTGACCCCGGCGGCCGCTCTGGACGAGGTGGAGGAGAGCGTGACCCGGCTGTTCCACTGGGCGGCCTACTGCGACAAGTACGGCGGCACCGTGCAGGTGGGCACGCAGGGGGGTTGGGGGGGTGCGGGCAACCAGGAATGGCGCGCAGAGCAAACCGGAGCAAGCCAGGGACTGATAATTGTTTTTTTACCCTTCTATCTGGCAACAAAACTGACACCTTTTTTTTACAAGGAGTCATGTTTGCATAGACCACAAAACCTGCAGTCAATGCAAAAAAAAACATAACTCTGATAATGTTATGCACTGTCCTTGAAGTTGATTGGTCCACACCCGAGACAGCTTTCTTAGAGCCTAGTCTCACATGGAAAATGAGGTTCCAATGGTGTAAAAGCCAGGGACTGTGAATGTGTGGGGAACGGGAGCTTGTGCATACAGGGGGGAGGGCAAGCAGTGCTGGTGAATTCGTGGTGAACCGGTGCGGCTGACCACAGGGGGCTGATGAACACGTGAGGAGCCGCATCCGTTGATGCAGGTGGCAGCCAAGGACGCTGAACTTACCGGGAGAGCCAGCGCTTGCACAAAACGCGTGGCCGCTTGTTACAGAGGTTCGCGGTTCGAAGCTGGCAAGTCGCACTGGGCAATAAAAAAACTACAGGCAATTTATATTTTAGCAGGTAAGGTCCACCGAGTTATTTTGCTGGCCACAGTTGATAGCTCAACGAAGTGGGCTATCACGCGGATATTTAAAGCCGCCGAATACTCTAAACGCACGTTAATTCTAAATGTGGAGGGAAAACCCGGAGAAAAATCCACGTGACCACGGGGAGAGAGACGTGCAAACTCCAAATATACAGCAGGCATCGGGTTTGGGATCGAACCCACGACCTCCTGTATACCAGGCCAGGTAGTTAACATCTCCTAGCCACCGTGATGATGATGAGAGAGACACGCAAACTCCAAATATACAGCAGGCATCAAGGTCTGGATCGAACCCACGACCTCCTGTATACCAGGCGAGGTAGTTAATATCTCCTAGCCACCGTGATGATGATGATGATGAGAAAGAGACGCAAACTCCAAATATACAGCAGGCATCAGGGTTGGGATCGAACCCACGACCCTCTGCATACCAGGCGAGGTAGTTAACATCTCCTAGTCACAGCGGTAGACGTGCCTCTACACGAGCCTTCTTGTTCGCGGCAAAGAGTTTGACGCGCGCGCCGAAAAACCACCACCCCTCCATGTGCCGTTTGGCGGTGCGTGCGTTTGCGCGCGTGCAGGAGACGACGCTGTACGGGGCGACGGTGATGGTGCGCGAGCCCGTGGGCGTGGTGGCCGTCGCGTGCCCCGACGAGAGGCCGCTGCTCGCCTTCGTGAGCCTCTTTGCGGCGGCCATCGTCAGGGGCAACGCCGTCGTCATCGTGCCCAGCGAGAGGCACCCGCTGCCCGCGCTCGACTTTTATCAGGTGAAAAAACCAAAGAATAATTTTATCAGGTGGGTGGGGGACCGTCGACGGCCACTGTTTTTTTATTTTATTTTACCAGGTTAAGGCCCACTGAGCTATTGAGATATTTTTCAGAAGCAACCTGGCTGTCGCAAATTATCGCGCAGCAGAGTGGCTCGTCACGTGGAAATTTATCGCGACCAAACACTCTAAAATGCGTTGATGTTGATTCTAAATATGGAGGCAAAAAAACGGAGGACGTGGAGAAAAAGCCACGCTACCACAGGGAGAGAGAGACACGCAAACTCCAAATATATACAGCAGGCGTCGGGGTCAGGATTGAACCCACGACCTGCATACCGGGCGAGGTAATTAACATCTCGCCGCTGACTTCAAAGCCACGTGGGTCACGGATGTTGTTTAGCGGCGCTGCATCACGCTGGTCACTGTGGGGTTGGGTAAGCGGGCACTCGGCACTGGTCCGGAACGCTCGCCAACTAACGTTCCCAGCGGCAGGGAATCGAACCCAGGTTGCCGAGTTTGTAGCGCGGCGTGCCAACCACTGCACCGCCTCTCCACACGCTCCCGTTTGCCCGCAAGATATTTCAACGGAGAGTCATCTTATTCTGTCACGCGCACGATTCAATGAATCTATCGAGAGCGTGAGACTATTTTAATTGGTGAATGTTTGCATGTACGTGCTCGTGCATGGGATGCCTGAAGTCCAGTGGCAGAGCCAGTGGGGGGGGTGGGGTGGCACGTGCCCCCCCAATGAGGGATTTCGATCGGATCACTGCCACTGTGTAGCATATTATTACGTGCCAGGGACTCTATGAGATGATAGGATAATAGTCTGAGTCCATAATTGGCAATAAGTAACGGCTGCTTGCGTTGTGGCCGAAACGTTGTGAGAATTATTTTATTATGTTAAATTTTTATTATTTTATTATTTTCATTCTACGTGACTTTACCGAAAGTACCAAGAAAACGGCAAAGCAGTTATAAGTGACTCACAGAATTGTGTGCAGTTGCGTACACATTCACCTTCAGCGAGCGCGATGCCGATCACACACGTGTCGAATAAAAAGCAAGGGACAAGTCCTTACTTACGAACAACTCCTATCATTTTTCATTGCTGGAGGGGTTGCCCCCCCCCCCTACTTGAAAATCCTGGCTCCGCCACTGCAGAAGTCCTCTTTTTTAGGCAGCCACAGAGCAATTGGGCAATTCGTACGAGAAATTAACCAGGGGCTGCGGGAATCTAACCTCGAAAACCCTCTGCAGACTCGCTCGGTGGGTCGAGCGTGATAATTAGAAAACAAAACTTCGCAGGCAGGTTAAGGAAACGCGCACCAACGAAGAGACAAAAAATCTCCCTCGTCACGTTGATACGCAACCCACAAGGCTGCGTGTTCCAGGCTGTTCTTGACGCGAGCTTGAAGCCTCAGTCGTGGGACAAAGTCAGTGAACGGTCGGGGTAGGAACCACTCCCCCCCTCGCTCGGCATGCCGTGCCGCCAACCTTAGATTCCGAAAAGTTGATGGGGAAGCTACTGTTGTGCGCGTGCTCGTGTGCGCGCGCGTGCACAGGTATTCGACACGTCCGATCTTCCAGCCGGTGTCGTGAACATCCTGACCGGCTCGCGGGACCACCTGACCAAGTACCTGGCGGAGCACCAGGACGTGCAGGCCATGTGGTACTTCGGCAGTGAGCAGGTACAACCTTGCCTTGGCCTCGGATCGGTAGGATGAGCAGGGAGGCATCAACTAAACTAATATTTATACTGGTAGGAACGAAGTGGACCAGACCATCAATAGATTAATGTGTCCGTCTGTCCGTCCGACTGTCCGTCCGTCCGTCCGTGTATCAACATCGCCCCCTACTGCAAACACTTGGCATGACCCTGTCCGACAAGATGGCCGCCCGCTCCCCCTGCGATCTGTGAATTAAACAAGATGGCCATCGCTTCCAGCGCATCACGGCAAAACTTTAAACTTCGCTTCAAAATTACTTTACTGAAACGCAGCACGTTTTTTTAACACAGAGACAAGAAACATTTATTAACACAGAGACGAGATACATTTAATTGCCTTATTTGTGCACGAAAAGCACGGCGCGAGGCCTAGTGCGGCAGGCTTTGCGAGGCCTAGTGCGGCAGGCTTATTAACACAGAGATGAAACGCAGCACGTTTATTTTAACACAGAGACAAGAAACATTTATTAACACAGAGACGAGATACATTTAATCGCCTTATTTGTGCACGAAAAGCACGGCGCGAGGCCTAGTGCGGCAGGCTTTGCGAGGCCTAGTGCGGCAGGCTTATTAACACAGAGATGAAACGCAGCACGTTTATTTTAACACAGAGACAAGAAACATTTATTAACACAGAGACGAGATACATTTAATCGCCTTATTTGTGCACGAAAAGCACGGCGCGAGGCCTAGTGCGGCAGGCTTCGCGAGGCCTAGTGCGGCAGGCTTCGCGAGGCCTAGTGCAGAAGGTGGTGGTGGGGGGTGGTGGTGGGGGGTGGTGGTGCGGGGTGGTTGTGGGGGGTGGTGGTGGGGGGTGGTGAGGGCTGGTGGGAGGGGTGGTGTTGAGGGTGGTGTTGGGGGGTCTTTAAATCTCACAGCGTTTCTTGTCAAAACAAACACTTTTAATTAACGTTACACTAGAATACAGTAATTTTTTCTTTAACTCCTCTATACCCGGTCGATATCCCTGTACCGGTACTAAGTATTATTCCTACCAGCCCACCCCGCAGGGTCCTGTTTTTACCAGCTCAGGTCCACGGGTGTAGAGTTCTTTTTTTAAATCCTTTATATTAAGTTCACTCGCTTGCTTGCTTGCGCACTTACGACCGTGCAAATCTTTCGGTCGTTTTTTAACCCACTTCCCGTGATCCAATCGAGCTGACATTTTGCCACACAGACTCGTGCGTGACAATGTATTTTCGTGAAATCTTTTTTCCAAAATTTTACACTTTTTAGGAATATATTTTTTTCATATTTCATTTAAAATACCAATGTGATAAAAATTTAACTCTTACTCAAGAAAAACATAAATAAATATTAAAATAAAAACCGATGCCACGCATATAAAGGATTTATAGTGAAAAACTTTGTTTTTACGGGTTAATTTTTTAGAAGCGACCTGGCTATCACAAATGATAGCTCGGTGAAGTGGGGCATCGTGCGGAAATGTACAGCAGCCAAATACTCTAAACGTGTGACGTTGATTCCTAATGCGGAGGGAAAACCGGGGGACCCGGAGAAAAATCCACGCGACCACGGAGAGAGAGAGAGAGAGTTTCAAACTCCAAATATACAGCAGGCGTCAGGGTCGGGATCGAAATCACGACTTCCTGTATACCAGGCGAGGTAATTAACATCTCCTAGCCACCGTGATGATAATGCAAGAGAGAGACACGCAAACTCCAAATACACAGCAGGCATCGGGTTTGGGATCGAACCCACAACCTCCTGTATACCAGGCAAGGTAGTTAACATCTCCTAGCCATCGTGACGGCCCCCCAATATTTCTGACCGAAAAAATTATTCAGAGGCGTTTCGTTTCTCACGAAATGGGGGGGCCGCGCACTGCATTTTCGTTTTTATCCCGCGCTTTTAATTAACTTTCCCTGTATGTCTGTTTAAATGTTTGACGCGTAATATCTCCGGATCTACGAAGCCGAATGAGCCGAAGTCTTCTACACACAGCCCCTCCTCATCCTCCCACATTTCGTTTCAAAAACCACCGGTCCAGGTCCGACCGATCCAGGGTCTCTTCGTGTTTTTTTTGTTTACTTTTTTTTTATTCCACTATCTCAAATATGTTAGAATTATCCAGACAATAATGAACTATTGTTGTTGTCTGTGTTGTCATCCTAGAATGAATATGTACATACTAGCCTTTTGCCCGTCCAAGGATTGGTGTATTGCAGTAAATCTGAAACTTGCAAGCGAACAGCAGACCGCGACGTGATATATTCATTGCATCAATACGTGTGCAATTTGTAAGGCCACGGGGACACAGACCTATTTCATTTAAAGGTTGTAATCCCTTGTTCATCATGACGTCATTTCTACTTCGATGTCTCAACAGCGTGACGGGGATCACGTGACGTGAGGGTTCTGCCTTTGTAGTGAGGGTTGTAAGTTGACGCTGAGGAGGGGGGAGGAGGCGCCTCGCCCCCCCCCCATGTGGAGTGACGTCACCCACTAATTATTATTAATGAGAGGGGGGTCCATGTGGAGGACGTCATCTGTTCATGAGTATTAATGAGGGGGGCTGGTCGACGTGGAGTGACGTCACGCGCGTTACACACCGACATCATTGGGTAAATATAGTAGTAAATGCAGATTTAACAAAAAATATTGGTAAAAAACAAGTTTGCCAATGCACGCACTTTTATTTGCACTCAAAAGTAGAAAATACATTCGCTTTGCCCCAGAATTAATCAAATTTTATGTGCTGAATAAAAGCGGAGGTGGGCTTGCAAAAATTTGCTTAATCATACCGAAAGGAAAACCACCCACTTTTATTCAACACGTCAAGTTTGATTTCGATTTAAAGCTTTCGTGACTGCAGGGATTCATCTTCCTGGTTCTTTCGGTAAAGTCACGTAGAATGGAAATAATAAAATAATAAAAATAAAACATAATTAAATAATTCTCACGACGTTTCGGCCACAATGCAAGCAGCCGTCCTCAGGTGTCTGCTCAACAGACCTGTTCTCCACCTGAGGACGGCTGCTTGCGTTGTGGCCGAAACGTCGTGAGAATTGTATTTAATTATGTTTTATTTTTATTATTTTATTACTTCCCTTCTACGTGACTTTACCGAAGGAACCAAGAAGATGTCAAGTTTGATTAATTCTTGGGCCCAGTGCAAATAAATGTGCGCGCGTAGGCCTCGGCAAGGTAAGGTAAAAGTGTAAAAGCAACGAGCCTACCTTTTACCCTACCCTTTACCCTTACCCCTTGGCATGTCGACACCTTTACCTTTACCATTTTACCCGGTAAAAAGGGTACAATTACCTTACCTTGCTGAGGCCTACGCACGCACGCACGCGTGTGTGTGCGCGTTGCAAAACTAGTGGTAGCTCCTGCAATCTCTCATTTACTTGATACAGCTGTCGTGGCTGTGACGGTTCCACCTGAAGACTTGTGTTGCCTCCGAAACGTCGTGATTTTTATTTTATTTTACTTTGATTAATTTTAATGTTTTACCTACGTGACTTTACCGAAAAAACCTAAGAATATAGCAATTGTTTACCCATTTTGTCGTCGTTGTTGTTGTTTTGTGTGCTCGACGGCTCGCAGGGGAGCAAGTTTGTGGAGAGCGCCTCCGCCGGCAACCTGAAGCGCACGTGGGTGAACTACGGCGTGGAGCGCGACTGGGCGAGCGCCGAGTGTGGCCAGGGCGAGGAGTTCCTGTACCACGCCACGCAGTGCAAGAACCTGTGGCTGCCCATGGGAGACTCGTTTGCCAACTGAGCGCCGCCGCAATGGGGGCACACGGCTTTGATCGCGGGAGCGTTGGTAAACCAACAAAAACATATTCTTGGTTTCGATTTAAAGCTTTCGTGACTGCGGCAGAGATTCATCTTCTTCGTTCTTTCGGTAAAGTCACGTAGAATGGAAATAAATAATAAAATAGAAATAATAAAATAATTCTTGCGACGTTTCGGCCACAACGCTGTCTCCCCGACAGACCTGGTCTTCACCTGAGGACGGCTGCTTGCGTTGTGGCCGAAACGTCGTGAGAATTATTTTATTAAGTTATATTTTATTATTTTATTATTTCCATTCTACGTGACTTTACCGGAAGAACCAAGAAAGCTTTAAATCAAAAGCTTTAAATAAAAATTTAACAAAAACATTTCACATTTTATTTTACCAGATGCGTAGCTGTGCTGTAGCTCTTTTTCAGAAGCGACCCGGCCATCACCAAATGATAGGTCAGCGAAGTGGCTCATCATCATCATCATCGTGTGCAAATCTATAGCAGCCAAATACTCTTAGACGCGTGATGTTGATTCTAAATGTGGAGGGAAAAACCCGGACAAAAATCCACGCGACCACGGGGAGAGAGAGACACGCACATTCCAAATATACAGCAGCAGGCGTCGGAGTTGGGATCGAACCCACGACCTCTTGCATACCGGGCGAGGTAGTTAACATCTCCTAGCCACCCTGGGTTAGCGCAGCAAAATTTAACCATCGTGCTGTAATTCTATGCTCCTGTGTCTTTCCCCCCCCCCCCCCCCCCCGTACCTATTTCAGGCTGAGTTGATCTACTGATCTATAAAGACAAAGATCCCCCGTATAGCCTTAACAGACTCGGGGAAAGTGCTGTTAGCGAGCGCCTATGAAGGGGTGGCACGGCACACGAGGGGGTGGGTGGCCAACCCCACGCCCGACCGCCTTTGTCTCTTCAGTGGCGATGTTTACACACCGCACCGGGTACTCATTTCAGGCTGAGTCGACCTAGGGAAGGCCCAGGACCGGTTCAGGTAATCATTACTGGTGTTTTCCGTGAGCGGAAATCGAACCGGGGTCGCCAGGTTCATAGCGCAGCGTAGCGCTAACCGCTACACTATTGCTCTCCACACTGTACACACACACACACATCTGCCTAAACAGAATCGGTGCTCTGTACGTCACGTTGCGACGCACACACACGGACACATGCACAAGATACCTGCGTTCATTTGAATCCGCAGCCTCGAGTCTCCGTTACTTGGGCTGTGTTTGTCAACCGTGAGGCGCGTGCAGCGCGTTTCTACTTTAATGTTTCATTTCGGCAGGTGACGACGACGACCGGGAAGTGACGCATGGCGGAACCGTGCTGGGTGATTGTCAGTTGGGAGACTTTGTTCCAGAGTTGATCACGGGTTGTGTCGTACAATGTCACACACGCTGCACGCACGTTGAACTTCTTTCGTTACGGTACGTAGCCAAACGCGCTAATCGGAGGTGCTGGGGAAGGACAACAAACTAAACACAAAAAGCAGTTGCCAAGAAATGAGTTCTCAATCTTGATGGTTTAAAAGTGCGTGGCTCCCAGTGGCCAGAGGTCGCAAACGGGTTTTGATTCCTTACCCGTACCCGGCCGCACCAGGGTCGCAAACGGGTACCAGTACCCGTACCCGGCCGGGCACGGGTAGCCGGGTATCGGGTAGGGTACGGGTATCGGGTACCCGATTGCGACCTCTGCCAGTGGCCTCCTAATATCGGGAGGGAAGAGCGGTTCCAGACGGTCGCAGAAGCGCGTGATGCGGTGACCGTCTTCGTTCGACGTGGTACTTTTCACGGGCAATGGTCGTGGTCCTCAAAAGTTCACAAGTGTGTTCCCCGAGTGCATCCCAGCGAGCAGTGCAGCTCTCTGTCAAGGGCCAACTCGGCCAGCCGACAAGGGGCCGCAGCAAAGTTTACACGTCACAAGTTACGCACGCTTGAAAGGAATTGACGACATCTTGAACGTAAACATTTCCACGATTTTATGTTCACATTTGATATTTTGTGATCTCAATAGGATTTGTTTAAGGAGGGCAGGGGGGTGGCAGAGTGGAGATCCGTGGTAGCGCATCCACCACTTGTCGCAGAGGGTTCACGGTTACTAATCCACTGGCTGCCCTGGTTATTACTGTCGGTATATTAACCCTTTCCCGTTCCGTTGACGTACGCGCATGTCATCAGCTCTTCTGAAATAATAATAATTTTATCGGTACCGAGGCTCCCACAAGGCCATGCGAGAGGACGTGCAGAACAGTTTGGCGGTCGTGTCGCTACAGTTCTCCGCGGTGAGTAACGACGTCTTTAAAAGCAACGGCGCTACTACGCCTCTCTAAATAAAACTAACGCTGTGCCTCTTCCACGTTGCGAGATCGACGGTGAACGGGACACCCAGCTTGCCACTCGCAGACGCCTCGGAACCGTGGAAGGGGTTAACTCCGATGATAATGGGGCACGGCGTACATCACGGCGGACGTTACAAGATCCCCTGACGTCGTTTGCTGGAGCAGGCCGTCGTGTGTGCGAGCGCCAGGGTCCAAGTGTTGATCATTTGGGATCGTGTACCACAGCAGCAATCATCGCGCCCCCCCCCCACCCCTACTGGCAGACTTAACGCCCCAATTAACTCTGGCGCATGAGACTCGTCCTAATGATGGGTCTCTTTGAGTTCTCAATCTCGTTAAACAAAAAAAAAACTTGAATCTTCGCGGAGAGTTTCAGTTGAGAAATGCGTGGCGCTCACTGCCCCAGGGCCTGGTTTATAAAATATGACGCCGTTTTAGAATTGTCATTTAATTGTGGGTTTTATTGTGGGTTTTATTATGGGTGGCACTGCCCAGTGCCTGGTTTAAAAACCGACGTTTCCCGATTTCCAATTGTGGATTTTGTTTTTGATTACGAGTAACACTGCCCAGTACCTGGTTTAAAAACCTGATACTGTTTTTATTATTATCATCACTTAATTGTAATGTGTGCTATTACCTCAAATGTTACGCGCCTGCGGTTGCATTTTGACCGGTGGCGAATCAATCGGCTCGTGCCATGAGGCGGTTTTGATTGCAGATGCAGATTGTGCATCCAAATGACAGTGATGAATGCAATGAACCTGGATCCTGCCGGACAATATTTTGACCGGCGTTATGAATATTACAATAGGGCATTGCCATGCACTTATTGTAATATTACCCCCCCCCCCACCCAAATTATATTTTAAAGATTTTTATGTAATAATGACGATCGCAATAAAAAAATACGCTTTAATACGATACGTTTCCTGTTGTGTTTAGGAGGACAGAAGAGGTGAATCAATCCATATGCTTGTTAAACCTTGCACGACGATGAGCCATTGATAAGCTTGCTGCCCAGATCACAACGTGAATAGTAATTTCACTTTGCATTTGCCATAAATATGCTAAATTCCTCTGGACATGCAAATTATTTTGTCAAGGCGCTCTTACCCCCTCCATCCCAGCTTAAATAGACGCTCCAAGCCTGGGGTGTGTCATTCAGACTCTGTCTTCTCGACAGACCTGTTCTCCACCTGAGGACGGCTGCTTGCGTTGTGGCCGAAACGTCGTGAGAGTTATTTTACTATGTTTTATTTTTATTATTTTATTATTTACATTCTAAGTGACTTTACCGAAAGAACCAAGAAGATGAATTTCACTTTTCTGAAGAAGAAAACAAAAATATGCTTCCCCGGATTTAGAGTGCAGCTGGGAAGTTCTAAAACAAAAGAAAAAGAATAATGTTGCTCATTTTTGGAGGTGTGGACCACTTCGTTCAAACGTCAGGGCACTTAGCTGGTGCCACTGACAAGTGAGATCCTGGGTTCAAATTTAGGCACTCGCCTGAGATTAAACCGGCTTTCAAATGCAGTTTATGGTTCCGGCCAAGTCACCAATGACCGCACACAAATTTTCACGAATTTGATTCTCCACTCAATTTTGGTTAAATGACAGCTCAATTTTTTGTTGTAAAATATTGCTCTGACTGTCATGCAACGAACATTCCTGTTATGTGACAATGCAGGTGGTAAAGTGCTGCCCCTATTGTGTGTGGACCAGATGTCACTTAATAGATCTCCCGAGGTCGTTCTGTTGTACATTGACTCCTCTACTTACGAACATTCGACTTACAAACTTTCAGAGATACGAACAAACCTGTCCCGTATGCCCAGTTGTCTGTTCGGACCGAGAGTCGTAAGTTCAACCGCCGCGCAATAGATGGTGGTGGTGGCATCTACATCTACAGAACGTGAAGAGCCAGTGACATTTACATCTGCAGAACGTGAAGAACCAGTGGCATCTACAGAACATGAAGAACCGGTGGCATCTACATCTACAGAGCATGAAGAACCGGTGGCATCTACATCTACAGAACATGAAGAACCGGTGGCATCTACATCTACAGAACATGAAGAACCAGTGACATCTACATCTGCAGAACGTGAAGAACCAGTGGCATCTACATCTACAGAACGTGAAGAACCAGTGGCCTCTACATCTACAGAACGCGAAGAACCAGTGGCATCTACATCTGCAGAACGCGAAGAACCAGTGACATCTACAGAACATGAAGAACCGGTGACATCTACAGAACATGAAGAACCAGTGACATCTACAGAACGCCAAGAACCAGTGGCATCTAAATCTGCAGAACGCGAAGAACCAGTGGCATCTACAGGAGATTATACTACTTTGAAAGCCATTTCCCGTATTTAGTGCACATGCCGTACAACGTGTTTGGAATCGACAGGAGTACGAACAGACCTGGAACCGAAATCGTTCGTAAGAAGGAGGAGTCTAGACACTTTCGTGGGGCGTTTTCTAACCCAAAAGGATTGGCAATGCTGAACAAGAGATCAAATTTGGATTTCGATTGAAAGCTTTCGTGACTGCAGGGATTCATCTTCTTGGTTCTTTCGGTAAAGTCACGTAGAAGGGAAATAATAAACATAAAAAAAAATCATTATAAATACAATACTATTTTATTAACACAATAAATAATATATTATTTTATTATGTTTTAAAACAGAATAAATAATATATTATTTTATTAACATACTTTTTTATTATTATTTTATTATTTCCCTTCTACGTGACTTTACCGAAAGAACCAAGAAAACGAATGTAATGTTAATAGCTTCAAAGAGTCTCTACTTGTTCGCCATCGTTGTCAACGCGTGGCCTGAAATCTTCTCCAGGTGGTCTCCAGAGTCCGGAGGGCGCATTTCTCGTGGTATTGTTGCAAATTCTCAGAGGTGTTCCAAATTTGTTTGTAGCATCCTGTATTGTTAACGTGATTACACGTTGAAAAATCAATCCTGCTTAAACGATGCGCTCCCAAAAGGCCGTGGGGCTTGATGGTTGTGCACAACACGAATACTTGAAGTATTATCCGCTTACCCACGTGACATGGGAGTCATTTTCCTTCAGTGCGTACGTAACAAACAAACAAAAATAACCACGCCACACAAAACCCACACTGACGCGCTAGGGGGCGCTTTAAGCATCAAAGGTGAAATATTGACTTCGGGGCCGTCCATAAATGACGTCACGCGATTTTGGACGATTTTTTACCCCCCCCCCCTCGTCACACGGCGTCACAAAAAGTCAGACCCCCTCAAATATGACGTCACAAAGCTCTGCCCCCCCCCCCAAACCATATTTCCATTTTGAAAATAAAACATGCTTTAAATCGCTTTGAACTATTGTCATTGTAGTGCGTATTTAATGTGGCGCTGCACTCTGATGTTGTCTATATTTATTTAAAGTTGCGCATTTTGATGTGACGTCACATTTCTCAAAGCCCCACTCCCCTCGTCACGCATCACCACAAATGTCTAAGCCCCCCCCCCCCCAGGTGCGTGACGTCAACTTTAAAATATAAGCACGTTTTAATACGTTTTCTCCTACATCAATACGCACTACAATGACAATAGTTGAAACTTGAAAGCGATTTGAAGCATGCTTTTTTTGAAGGGGGGGGGGGGCAGAATTTTGTGACGTCATATTTGAGGGGGGGTCTGACTTTTTGTGACGCCGTGACGAAGGGGGAGGGGGGGTCAAAAAACATCAAAAATCGCGTGACGTCATTTAGGGACGGCCCCCTTATATCCACTTTTTCTATTTACCGTTGGACGTATTTCAGTCCCGGATTCACCGACCCCGATACTGGACACATGACGAAACGCCCGTTCCCCAAATTATCTGGGGTCAAACAAACCCCATCAAGAGCACATTATTGAACACGAGTTGAGGCCATCATATAAAATTCACGGTTCAGACAGGTCAACGTTTAAATAAGGTATATATGTTTTATTAACCAAAATGATTACTTGGTAAACTAATTAACAGAGTGTACAGTATTTATTACATTTATCCATGCACAAACCTAATGCTTTAACTCAACTGTAAGTCACACACGACACTGGGCCACAAGCAGGCATTAAACAGTATTATGATGCATTATGCAATGCTGCACTTTGCAAATGCACATTGATAATTTCGCTTCAATTGACACCACACGAAGAGTCCTAATTGTCAGAAAACACCACAAAACCATCCCTACGAATAAGTACAATGTGAACGACTCACATTCAGAGCAATGAAAAGTGCCCCGAGGATTTATCACGATTTAAAATACTCTCTCATGTTCGTTGTGGAATTTCACACTCGCATCACACGAACCCTCATCATGGCAAATGCATCATATCCACAGGATGTCATGGAAATGCACGCATGGTCAGCTTGCGGACACAACACCTGCATTTGGCTGCAGGCTCTCCCTTGGGAAACACACTCATGGATATCAAGCAAATCAAACTCAAACCACCTGCTTCTCTTCTCTGGCGATACAGAGCGGGTATCTGATGACGTCTTGTGGACCTCCGCAATATACAGCAACCTTAAGACTCCAGACTGCAATTTCTAGCGCCCATCTTTTCTGGCCTTGGACAAGACTTGCTTCCTCATCTGTTTTACTCGTCCGCATATATTGCATCTTCCCATCCTCCGCCCTAATCTTGAACATGTCTTCTGTCCCAACCACCCTTTTCTTGGCTTCTCTGTAGTGCAATTGCTGGAATTAGTGTGTATAAATATTCTCCATGACCGGCACCGTCCATGGCACGCGCCTCACGATTTTCTCCTTGACAGAGCCCGGTTCTTCTCTCCAAAAATTAAGTGGTATTGTCTTGTTCAGACGCAACCAATTCTATCAAATGATCATTGTTGTTCTTTGAGTCTCAGTCCTCAGATGATGTTCTATTTCTCAACCATCCAAAAAGTCACTGTCACCATCCCCACTGATCTCACCGCTGCATTCCTCGCCCACGTTCTACAATGAGGAACGTAGCGTATCCACACTTGTGTATCGAGCTGTGCTGGTTGTCATTGTTTATCAGTTCCCATTCTGACATAATAATTACAATATGCTATCTTTTATACAATGGAATTGACACTTGGAAATACCCATGAAAACATGTTATTGTGTTCCATATTATCCGCTACTGCTGTCTGGAGTACCCCAGGCAAACAACAAATAAAATATGCAGCCTACATTTCATTCAACCTGTGCATATGCTGAAGTCGTTATTTCACAATTGCCAAAAATCACAGAATCGCTCGGTTGTATCCATAAAATAAAAACCCTGGGGTCCATCGTACTCCAGGTTACATGATATCAATGTATGTTTGCACAGATCGACCAATATAAAACAGCACAAACATAGCTCTACATTAATTCTAGATTTGAAGCTTTCGTGACTGCAAGGATTCATAATCTTAGTTCTTTCGGTAACTTTACCGAAAGAACTAAGATTATAGCTCTACATATTCATCAATAATTAGTGAAAATTACATTTTAGATATTAACAAGCACTGCCTCATGTAATTGCGCGGGGTGGAGGGTGGGTGGCAGGCGTGACATCAGCACAAAACAAGTCGGTTCAATGCTGTGGGTGACATCATCACGCAGAAAAGCGCAGTGACGTCACCACCGTGCACTTGCCCAGCCCGTGCGCCAGCCAGCCAGCCAAACTTTTTTTTCTAATATAGCATGATTCAACAGTCATCTTCCTTAACTTGTGCAACATTCGATTGCTGCGCCTTTAGATTTAGATCATCGTGAAGAATTCGCGAAACACTGCCATAGGACAAATTGAGTTCCGCGCTTGTCCTGCGGATGGACTTCTGAGGGCTGTTGAGCATGGCATCCTGCACTCGCATCACATTCTCCTCCGTTCTCACAGTTTTTGCCCGCTTTTTCTTCACATTTCTAACCGAACCCGTATCGCAGAATTTGCGATACAATTTGTAAATGGTTTTCCTCTGCGGTGGCGCGCGGTCAAATTCCTCCTGGAAGAGTCGCTGCGTGTGCGCCACGGATCCGTGAATCTCCATCCATGCTACCACCTTCCTCCTCTGCTCCTCAGTCAGATACGGAGCCATCGCTTTCACAATGCTCGATCACCTGTTGAGAAAGGGGGGAAAAAAACACAAGAGGGTCATTAGAAATCGGTGGGTCTGGTGGTGCGTCTGCTTCTTTTGCGAGGCGATGGGAGTCGTCGGCAAAACAGTGGCCACGTCGATTTAAAGCTTTCGTGACTGCAGGGATTCATCTTCCTGGTTCTTTCGGTAAAGTCACGTAGAAGGGAAATAATAAAATAATAAAACATAATAAAATAATTCTCACGACGTTTCGGCCACAACGCAAGCAGCCGTCCTCAGGTGAAGAACAGGTCTGTTGAAAAGACAGCGTCACCTGAGGACGGCTGCTTGCGTTGTGGCCGAAACGTCGTGATAATAATTTTATTATGTTTTATTTTTATCATTTCCCTTCTACGTGACTTTACCGAAAGAACCAAGAAGAAGTGGCCTCGTCATTTGACGCTGCTGGCCTCCGCTTTCTTCGCTACTGCTGTCGCATAGCTGCAGCGTCGTCGACTCTGCCATCGATCGCCCGGGGTGACTTGCTCTTCCTGGACTCGCTCTGCAAAACCCTGGACGCCTCCCTTTCTCGCTTGGCCCGCATGGCGTCGACGGGCCCAACGCTTACTCGCCTTTCCTTTCTCGACTCCGGGGCCAGCAAGAACTCCTCGTCCTCTGCCGTTATTGTCCGGTTCAGAGCGTTGGCACGAGCCGCGGGGTTCACAAGAGTGTCGGGAGAAGGCGTCCTGCCCTCGCCCATCCTCCTTGATCATTCTTCTCGAGGCCCTGCCACGTGGGAGCGCAGCTCTTTAATCGTGTCGACGACGCAGCCGCTCCAGCCTTGCGGGAATTTGCGTCTTCTCTGCCCAGCCATGAAGGAACCTCCCTCGCCGTCGCCACAGCGCTGGCCTCGGATGGCATCGCTTCTCTTTGAATGTGCAAATAAAAAAAAAGGGGTCCAACCCTTGCCGGTTCGATGGAAGTTTGCATCTGGGTTATTGCGTCCACAGAGTTCCTCGCGCCAACCAAACGCCACGGTTTATCTTCGGCACATCTGCCCTAGTACTGGCCATTTCCACTCGATGAAGAGACCATATACTTTATATGGCTGCGCTAGAGTTATACATATAAGCGTCATTCGCCATTAAGTGGCGGTAACGTCAACACGGCGCTTGTGCCAGGCCATGTGCACGTTGAGGCCACGTGAAGTGTCGAACGCCCGCTGGCAGGAGGTCACGGGGCAGACCCAGCAGGTGCCACGGGTCGACTGACTGAGATGACTGAGATGAGTGGCCGATGCACCACCTGTGCCCCCTACTGTGCCAGGCTAGGTGCACCAGGAGGTCACGGGGCAGACCCAGCAGATGTCACGGGGCAGACCCAGCAGATGCCACGGGTCGACTGACTGAGATGACTGAGATGAGTGGCCGATGCACCACCTGTGCCCCCTACTGTGCCAGTCATATTAGGGCCATGCATGCCAATAGGATTGGGTCGTAAGCAAGCTGTCAATATTAACAGATTATAATGACATTGTCAGCACTTAACTATTACACCAAAATTACGAATTTGAGTGGTTATGGTCCCTGAAAACTAAAACTTCACTTTTTCATCTGTATTGTGATTGGCACCCTGGTGGTATCTATAAATGTATCAATGTAACCTCAGGCTTTCTACCGATGTATTTATACTGGTTGTATGCAGATGGATCATTGTATAAACAATTGATGCTTATTTTAACATAAACGGAGGTGACATCTGGCTTTTATACACATTTCCCTCACCGTTAGAACATACAGTACATGTATTCCATACAAATTAAAGCAACTGCTTCAGAAAACAAGCGTGGTATATTATAATCCAATGTCATCGATCACGTTACGATACATAAAACAATTGCAGTACGTCATGTTAAACCGAAAGGAAAATCTTATACATATACACCGTACCATAATAAGGTGTGTCAAACATAAATAAACAACGGAGTTAATGTCGTAAGCAGCAATTAATTACCGTGTGGACAATGACATCACACTCGCATGCGAAATGTACTTAACGCCTCAAGATTATTCGCAATGACGTAAACCGGTAATGTATAGCAGCAACGGTGAAAGTTAACACGTATGTGAACGACGCAAAGCAAACACATAACACGCACGGCGTCAATAACATCACGCGAATACATTCTGAGGTGAATTATTGTTGTGTTACACCGCTACCTTTAAAGCGGCCGCGACATCGCGTCACTTGCAACCATCAACTTGCACGAAAGGGGGGCTCCTCATTTTGCGCGCTAAAATCGAAACGCCAGAACGAGGATTTTTTTTCAATTATTAACAAAACTAAAAAATTACGCACGCGTACAAACACGCGCGAGATGCCACGACGACGTAAACAACAACAAAAAATAATCCGCGAGGTAAAAAAAAATAACACCGTCCCGCATTATTTTGCTCGTAGCGGAGCGCGACTGGACGCGACCTACCTCCTCCGCGCCGTCCGCCATCTGGCGACAGCACGAAGATGGCTCGCGACCGCCGCGCTCACCCATTGGCCGGCGCGCCTCCCACGTGATCACCCCCCCCCCTAACCACCGCCCCCCAACCCCCCCTCACCCCCTGGCATCGGTTAGCCCCGCCCACGCGAAGGCGCTCGCGACCAATGGGAAGCGCCGCCCGTGCTGGGAGCGCGCGCGGCGGTTGGTGGGGGGTGACCGGAATGGGCGGGGCGATGGCGAGATGGGCGGGGCGAGTTGAATGAGGTGGGGGGGGGTGTGGGCCGTTGATAGTGGAGGGGAGAGATAGAAAAGGGGGAGGAGTTTACTCGCTAATGACGCAATTGCCGCACCCCCTTCTCGGCCCCTATTGTTGCTACCCCCCCCTCTCCCGGTGTTAAGAGCGGCGTCGTCGGCGGTGAGCGGTGGGGGTGGATTGGTTGAGCCCGGGGGTGGCGAGGCCGTCCGCCGAGTGTGAGCGAGCCGAGCGTGAGGGGGGGGGGCGGGCACGCAAAGCCGAGGGAGTGGAGCTCGCGCGAGCGGCTCTCTCTCTGTGTGTGTGTGGTGGAGTGGGTGGGGGTAGGTAGGTGGTGGTGGTGGAAGGGGTTCTTCACTCTTTGCACACGACGATCCGCCTCCAGGGCGCCTGGCGCGCACGAAACTCGCGGTGGGGGGGGGTGTGTTTGGGCAGCCCCCCCCTCCATTCGCTTACCGCCGATAGATTCGTGCGTGAGGGGAGGGGGGTGTGGGTGGGGTGGAGGTTGGTGGTGGGGGGGGGTTGGTGGTGGAGGTGGTGGCTGCTGCTGCCGGGCGGTTGGAGCGGTAGTAGAGGAGGGAGGGACACAAGGAGGGGGGGTGAGGGGGGGTTGCAGGGGGGGGGGTTTGCAGGGGTGGCGGTTTGCAGGGGGGGGGGTTTGCAGGGGGGGGGGTTGCAGGGGGGGGGGTTTGCAGGGGGGCGGTTTGCAGGGGGGGGGGGGTTGCAGGGGGGGGGGGCTTGCAGGGGGTGGGGGTGAGGGGGGGGACACAAGAGGGGGGGGTGAGGGGGGGGGACACAAGGGGGGGGGGTGAGGGGGGGTTTCAGGGGGAGGGACACAAGGGGGGGTTGGTGAGAGGGGGGGGGGTTTGCAGGGGGTGGGGGTGAGGGGGGAGGGACACAAGGTGGGGGGTGAGGGGGGGTTTTCAGGGGGAGGGACACAAGGGGGGGGGGTGAGGGGGGGTTTTCAGGGGGAGGGACACAAGGGGGGGTGAGGGGGAGGGACACAAGGGGGAGGGGTTTGCAGGGGGTGAGGGGGGGGGACACAAGGGGGGGACACAAGGGGGGGTTTTCAGGGGGAGGGACACAAGGGGGAGGGTTTAGGGGGTGAGGGGGGAGGGGTTTGCAGGGGGTGAGGGGGGAGGGGTTTGCAGGGGGTGAGGGGGGAGGGGTTTGCAGGGGGTGGGGGCTGTTTGCTGGGCTCGGGTTTTGTGCTGCTGCTGCTTGGAGCCCGCGCGCTTTCTGCCTCGAGGGCGGCGGCGTGTGGCGAAAGTGGTCGGTAAATAAGTAAATAAATCGTGGACACCACAACCCCACACGCAACCCACACACACACACAAAAAGGCTGCCGAAGGCCACAGAGAGAGAGAGGCGAGAAGCGAGGAGCTCAGGAGGAGGAGGAGGAACCTCGGGCCTGGCGGCGCCGTGCGGCCTCCCGCTTGCTCCCCCCTCAGCGGTAGCGGCAGAAGAAGAAGAAGGCGAAGAGGGGGGCCCCCCCTTTGGCCGTGAGGGGCTTGAGGGGTTGTCGTGGGGGGCAGCCGGAACGAGCACGAAGAGGAGAGAGAGACAAGGCCGAGAACAAAACAATTCTGTCGAGGGTAAAAAAAAAAGAGGCAGATGCCGCGTGATGATGATGATAATGATGATGATGTTGGGTGCTGGTTGTGGTGGTTGTTTGATGTGGGTTGTGATTAAAATGAAGGCGATGTTTTGCCTGGGATTTGAGCCGTTCTGGGCCCCACGTTTTGTTACCGTGACGGGTCGCCTCGCTCCGACGTTCGTCTTTGCTTGTGGTTATTGTTGTTGTTGTTGTGGTTGTTGTTTGTTTGGTTGGTTGGCAACCTTTTGTTACTGCTCGTCGTGGTGTTTCCCCACCCCTCCTGAGGGAGGCCGACCGGCCGAAACGTCGAGGGGCCTAATCGCGGTAGCGGCGGTGCATAATAAAAAAGAGCGGCCGTCGTGTGTGCGTTTTGTTGTTTAAATGTTCGTCGTTAATTAACCTGTTATTGTGTAAGTTCATCCAAGCGGCAACTTTGTGGCTTATTTATAATTGTACGGCCGATAGCCTCTTTCCCCCCCCTCCTGTCTCGCCTACGCGTCTTGGACCGCGGGCTTTTTTGTGTAGGCCCTTTTGGCTTGGCGGGTAGCCTTAAAAACCACCCAGAATACAAACAAACAAACCAAAAACAACAACAACAAACCATCGTGGGCAAAGGGACGATGGACCGACTGTGTCCGTCCTGAGCCGGCAAAACCCCGTTTCGGGAAACCACTACGATGGCTTTCGGTGCCCGGCCGAGTGGGATGGAGGCAGGGCTGGCCGGCAAATGTGTGTGCCCTCTCTACACGGGTGGCTATCGTTTCCAGGCAGCGGGGGCAATCCATTAAGAAACATGGCTCGAAAATGAATCGACCCATTCGTTTGTGATCGCTGATTGCCGTGAGAAAATTTGCACGAGTTGCGTGCGATTTCAAAAGAGTTGTTGTGGGCCCTGTGTAAGTGGCGGTGGTGGTGATGATTCGGGTATTATTGGTGGTGTTTAAGCTGTTGCTTGCCTTTGCATTCTCTCTCTCGCCTCGCTGTTATTGTTACGAGTTGGTTGCTGCTCGCATTTAAACGGCCCCGCGTTTTATACAGCGGACCCTCTCGTGTTTTATTCTTTATTTATTTTGGATGTTTCCGCCGATCCAACCCCGTTCCTCCTTGATTACCTGCTAGCAAGCTCAGGGTTAGCAGCTTTCTATACCTGTGGGTCCTGATTTATATCGTTTACGGGACCGCTTCCTTCCAATTGACAGTATCAAAGATCATTTAGACCAACTCTGAATGTTATACATTAAATATATTAAACATACCATATCTGAGGTGGGGTTTTAATTGTATTTCCTTGCAATATATCTCTGTTTGACTCGGATCTCTGTGAACACTTTCATGAAATCGGTTGTGAAAAAAAATCTGTTTATGTTTATCCGTGTAAATGGATTGATTTTAGCTTTTAGCATTTCTTCATGACTTCTTGCCCAGGCAGCAGCTAAAGTGGCTGGCAACTTTTTCTCTAAATCCGTAAAAATGTCAGTCCTGTGGCACATCCTCATCGGCTTCCCGTTTGATCTCTGTCGTTCAATACCATTATTTAACCTTAATCTCCCAATATTTAACGTCAAGTACTCCCTTCTCCACTCTCATCCATCTCACACGAATGGCCTTTAATGTCTCTTGAGGAATGTCTCTCTCCCTTTCCGTATTGTAACGTATCTACTTATAACTTTAAAAGTCGTGCAGTGCTCTTTTGGATTGTGTGTAACATCCCTCCCCTGGTATTACATTTATGTTTTGTTTTCTATTTGTTACATTTTATTAACAACCCTCTCTCTTCCTTTCCACCAGTACCAACCCAGTGAAGAATCGCCTGCTGTCGTTCAGGTCAAGGAAAACAACACGAGAAGTCGAGCGAGACTTCGGCGAGAGCGACTGCTCTCATTTTGGGCCTGGGATTTCGCTGCAGCCAGCATGGGCCTCAGAGGCAGGGCTGGCCAGGACTTGCTCGGCTAGAAGGCCCCTTCACCAAGGAAGGATCGAGGAGAAGGGGGCCCTGCTTGGTGGCGAAGGGAGAGAGAGGTGGGGGGGGGCGGGGGTGGGTGGGCTGGGGGTGGATTTGTCCACGCTGGGTATTTGAGGTGGCTTTGAGGACGTGGACCTTGGTGGTGGTTTTGGTGGTGGTGGTGCTGGAGGTGACGGTGTTCTTGTGCGGTTGGCGAGCGGGAGGATGGCTCACCCTGGTGGGGCCGTGGAGCCTCGGAAGAACAGCGCGTTTCTCGACGCACTTCGACAATTCCACCAAGGCCGCGGGTGGGTGAACGTTCGGCTGTCTTTCCACAGTCGTTTTCTCGACACCGTATAAATGTTTTCTCCCCCCCCTCACCACGGTTGCCTGGTAGCTTATTGGTGCACGTACGTCTGACCTTAGGCATTCTCCAGGTTTGAATCCCACTATTGCGTTATAATGCCATCACCTCGCGTAAGGATTCAAATTGTGAGGTATGAACATTGACAAGCAAGTAATGGCACTCGTAAGAGGCACGTGTTTTACTTGACAATCATAACTCCAGCGAGTTAAATATCCTATGACTCCATTACAGACCTTGATTAGGAATTGTAGGTTTTCTTTTATGGCTACAAACAGCTTCCTCACGAGAGACACGTATCTTGCCAGGCTATCACCTGCTTGTAAATAAAGGAACTTGATATTGAATCACCCCGCATTGCTGCTGCTGCTCCATCACGTTTAATTTAAAAAGTTTTTTTTCCTCCACATGGGGATGTTAACCATAAAGGGTACAGGTGCCTTGTGTGCAGACTGGTCCCTGCTGGGACGAATCGGGCAGCAGAGCTAACACAACATACAAATGCAATGTGCGGTAGCGTAATGTTTCTACAATATAACTACTTCCAAAAGAGCTTCCGAGAATGCACTCCACGCAAATTCCACCCACTGTACAGTATACAGAGCCATTGCACATGACTGCCTCTCCAACACCAGCTGCTTTATTGAGCCCTTTGCAAGCATATCATTCCTGAAAGTATGTGTTTATGCTTAATAGATTATGCTGCATTACTGGTCATGTTCAGAGTTTTTTGTTGTTGTTGTTCATTCAATGTCATAGGAGCTGGAATCCATAAGAGCTGGCATTGTATTTAAATGACGATGCGGTCGCTGCTGTCTTTTATGACAGCACATGGGATGGTGTCACATGGCCACACAAGTTTGGTTTTCGGCTAAATTGACGTAGCTTCGTTCCGAGTGGACACATCCATTCTAGACACAACATCCATTCTTCGCTGCTTGTTTGTGGGGGGGGAGGGGGTGGACTGGTGTTGGGTAATGGGATTCCTTTTGAAATGAAACGAGAAATATTGTGGCGTTATCTTCGTGAGCTGTTTCCTGTTGCGCGACATCGTGTTCTGTCAATTTTTTTTATTCTCAGAGAAGATAATTTCCTCATTTTATGCTTTAATCCAGATGGTAAAATTGGGGTATCATTGGTGGTCAATCCTAAAGGGGCAATGAAAGAGACTTCCATTGTGAACAGTTTTGGACAAGCCACTCAACCGTAACCAGATTGTAGTACTAAAATGTATTTTTCTTCATTGGCCTTTCATGCCTATGATTGCATGGAATGTCGGTTGCACAGTGTACGGAGTAGACGTGTTTTGATTAATCGATTTACATTTGATTATTATGCCTGCGATACAACGATCCCTTCATCGAAGAGTCGATTAATAACAATTTCTCAATGAAGTGAAAATATATCCTAACGTTAACTTGTTGAGCAAACGAGACAATGGAAACGTGGCTGCATCAACGTCAAATAACTTGAATGAATCAAATAATCACAACAAAAGGTAACTTAACCGTTCATCTGATTGTTGGTGGGGGCGTTGGATTGTTAAACGCCATGTTACGCAGTTATTTAAAATATACTATTATGGCTCTTAAAAATAATCCTCCGTTGTACCTTTCTTTTTGTAGCACACCTTTTAAAAAGACCCCTCTAGTTGGCGGCAGGGAAATTGATCTGCACTCGCTGTACACACGGGTGACTTCTCTCGGCGGCTATCACAAGGTGAGTTTCCTCGCGGTGTTCCCATTATTGAGCTGTCGTTTCTTGAATTGTCGGCTGAAACTTTGTTCACAGCCACTATCATCGTCAATTCAAGTGTTGAACTGTTGACGTTGCTTTCAGGTAAAGCTCTTAACTGGAGCACTGTTGTGACAAAGCCTGTTGGAAACAGCACCTGAAATTGGACATGAGGTCTCAAAACCGGATATACTTTTGTGCATAAACTCAAACATTGTCTTGGACACAAATGCCATTGGGCAGTACATGACACTGTACAAAGTAAAATTATTTGGATTGAGGGGGGTGCTATCGCTACAGAGCCCAAGTGAACTTGCCATATAACAAAATTACATTTTACATCTGATGTATGATGTCACATTTTGCAAATACATGTTTTAGCAAATGTATATTATTGTAAGGGACTTTCATTTTATCCATTGTCATATGCATTGGTTGATGCCGTTTGACTGCTTTTATTTTACCGTTGAGCTTGTATGATATAATTTCTATGGGTTTGCCAAAACTAAGATCGCTTTATGGGAAGTCAACATTTTTTGCCATTATGAATAGGCTGGCTCATGTCATGGGTGTGTGGAATTTCCACCACTGCCGATCAGTTGCTTTGCCATTGCTCGCTTGTGCAGGGAGACAGTGACTTAATTTATCCAGCAGTGCCTTTGCAGGCCATTACCTATTGCAATTTGGAGGAATAATGGAGTACCTAGAGAAAACCCATACATACGGGGGAATAACATTAAAATATAGCTGCAGATTAATGAGGTCCATTTTCTATACTGCCATCTACTGGCCTCTGCTTCGCCAAGTAGATCGAGAGAGTCAGGTATTTAAACAATGTGGTAATAAGCATGACTTGGGTACCTGCATTCAAATGACATTTTTCAATTGTTTCTTGGGAATAAAAAGAAATGTAGTAACATGCCAACACTGAGTTGTGTTTCAGGTATAAATTCAATTGTAGTTAAACCCAATGTGATTTTCAAGACAGACTCTTGTCTTCAATTAACATGTTTCAAACATTGTTCATTGTGCAGCATGACCATTTAGACAAGTGATACTAGTTAGTGGGTTGTGTGTGTCTGGGCCTAGGCTATGGGCTGCCCATACAACATTTATTGATGGCTCTCAAGCGGTGGGGGACGCAAGGCTGGGTTTTCAGGATCATTTTCACGCTTTTTCCAGGAACCTTTTAAAATTGTTTAATGCTTTTGTGGATTGAAGACCAGAAGACTTAAATGTTTTTGCTAATGGCATTTTAGGTCCCCTAATAACCTGTGTCGACGTCTGTCATGCTGAGAAAGAGAAAAACATTGCAAATTTTGATTTAAATAAAGTGAAGATTCATGATATGTTTTTGCTGTTCCACAATTTCGGCCCTATTGCCCACAATATGACTGTGCAATGGATGGAGATAAACCCTTGAATCGACCAGCTATTTATTTATTTTAAGAGCCATACATATACCCCCTTGTTTGACATGCACCTGGCACGTGTTTGATGTTATTGCCCCCCCCCCCCCAAAAAAAAAACGCTTGTAGGTTAAAAGTAGTAGGGGCATAGTGCTTATTTTGTCTGGATCCTGGATGCGCCAGTGACTGAATCGGCCGATTGGGTTTTGCACGGTGTGCTTTCAAAGCCATTAGACGTGTTTTAGAATTCACGGCGTAGTTTTCCTTAATCGACGGCGCATAATCGCTGTTTTTTTTTGCCATGTTATCATCTCTTCTCCTGATTAAGACTACATTACGATGCTACAGTGCAGCAAAAGCATCCGTATACTCTTGTTCAAGTTCTGAATGTCCTTTTTGTTGTACTCTGGCATTGTGACTACATGCTATGCCATCGTGTATTATTTGTTCATTTAATTACTCTTAAATGGCCTAGTACAGTGCAGTTAGAGTACAATCCTTTCAGATGTATTTTATTACCCTTCCTGTATGCGTACACGTGCATGCAGGTTAATTCATATCCGTTTTCTTGCACAGGCACACGTGGCAAAAGCTGTATACACGTGAAAGCCATTCATCAGTACAACGCATACATTTCCATACGCAAATTTCCTGTGTACAGATACCCAGCATGGAACAACTCGTTGATTAAAAGTGATCCTTACGCTTAACGTAGATGCTTCGAATTGTGCGAGTGATAATGGATTATTTCCGATTTATATATTTTAGTACGTGATTGGATCACATAAACCTCTGCAGCCACTACAGATTCTTCATTCACCAGAGCAGCAAAAGAGAATCCAATGTTTGAATGTAATCATGACCTAGGATTGACAAGTTATCCTATACTTGGAGGGGGGGGGAGGGTGATTAATGTCCAATGTACATCGTGATTTTTTTTACTTATAAGGTATCGTAGTCAATTTAATGCTGCCTTGGGAATGCTCAGTAATTCTGTAGGAGGAGGCTTGGTATAAAGACCTCTGTGTGAGATGTGTATGCACCCCTCGTACCACGGCACGCGATGGCCCACAGAATGTGCCAGGGCATTGACATCTGCCAGAAGGCTGTGGCTTGAGTTGATAAGATTGGTGGCTTAATGTCCATTGTGGAGGATGTTGCGCTTGGGCATGTACAGATGCTCGGCTTCTTGGTACTTTCGGTAAAGTCACGTAGAAGGAAAATAATAAAATTATAAAACATAATAAAATAATTCTCATGACGTTTCGGCCACAACGCAAGCAGCCGTCTTCAGGTGGAGAACAGGTCTGTCGAGAAGGCAGAGTCTGAATGGCTCGCCCCAGGCTTGGAGCGACTATTTATGCTGGGATGGAGGGGCGAAGAGCGTCTTGACAAATAATTTGCATATCAAGAGGAATTTAGCATATTATGGGAAATGCAGATATGCGATTAGTACTACTTGTGAAATGCGTAGGAGGTTTTTTTTATTATTTTTTATTTTCCTTCTACGTGACTTTACCGAAAGAACCAAGAAGATGAATCCCTGCAGTCACGAAAGCTTTAAATCGAAAGAGCTCTCATACTCTGATGGTGCATTGTCCTTGAGTTGTGCGCCTTTTGGCGTCATCTGGTCCAACCCATATGAGACTAGGCTCTAAGGAAAGCTGTCTCGGGTGTGGACCAATCAACTTCAAGGACAGTGCACATTATCAGAGTTATGTTCTTTTGTTTGTATTATGACTGCAGGTATTGCGGTCTATGCAAACATGACTCCTTGCAAAAAGGTGTCAGTTTTGTTGCCAGATAGAAGGGTAAAGAACCAATTATCAGATGATCAGCTGTTTAGGCAATGAAATACAGTATCCAGAATGTTTTCTAGGGTGTACGACTTCATTTTTAGTCACAGGAGAATAATAATTCCAAGAACTTGTTGCTGTTTTTGTTTGCTTGGGTAATCAGGAGTTGGAGTAGATGGATTTTTATGATCGCACAGTGGAGCCCTGTCGTATATATTTTTGTACATTCCACTTATGTATTCTGTAGTACGTCGGTTAATAATTGGAATCCTTGTTTTCTTTAGAAACTGCATGATAGCTGTGGTAAGTATGACCTCGAAGACGATGGTTGGTCGGTTAAATTTGTGATCGTGGCTGTGGAAATGAAAGGAGTTGATTTTTCCACTTGCTTCCTCTGCTCAGGCCAGTGGTAAAATGGGGAGATAATTTTCATTGGTGGGGTAAAGTGTGGTAACTTTTCGACCGTTGAAGACTGTGATGAATGATCTTTTAAAGAGCACAACGCACACACCGCCCCATGTCCAATATGTGCAATAATCACAAGGCCTGTGTTAACGAGGCCTTGTAGCTGCAGCTTTGGGGCAATCTCTACCTTTTGCAGATCACCACTGGATATAAAAAATGATCAATTGGAACAAAGCACTGGATCGCGATGACCCCGAGCGATCGTTAATAACTCGTTTTTACAAAAAGGTTTGTAGCAACTGAGTGTTGTTGAAATGTTGCCCGTTTTCGCATCATTTCAGTGCCGTTAAAGGTTTTGATGAAAGTTAATCTCGTTCAATTTCTTTGGGGGCTTAGTTTTTTAATTGCAATTTATTTTTGCTACCTCCGCAGTAGAGTTGTCTGATGTTTATACGTTATGTAATTTTTATTATTGCCTTTCAAAATTATTAAATGCGATTGGAAGTAAAAAAAATGTCTGAATGCTTTGGAACATGGCACTCTCAATGGGTTTTATGCTTAATTGGTTTCTTTAATTCAATTTTATTTGTTTGGCCGTGGTGCATTACAACCTTAAAAGTGCATCCAATTGATTCAATTTGAGGCCGTAACTTGTTTTTAGTTGGAATAAAAGTAAGTGTGCAATGTCCAGGTTGTAGCGAGTAGTAGATGCTGATTTGTGCTAAATCCTCATGCTGATGGGACAATGACTAAAGGAAGGAAGTGATTGATTGGGGACTTAAAGCGCTTATCGTCATCAGCTATGATCTATCCACAGCTGGATGAAGATAATCCATCACCATCTCTAATGCTCCCGCAGTGTCACAGTCCATTCTAGCGCCTTCTGTGGCTTTCCGCTCTGTCTCATCCATTGGCCATCATCCTTTTAGCAATGTGTCCCGTCCAACTCCACTTATTATCCCTTAGTCTCTATGAGTTATTGACGTTTTGTTTGGTGTGGAGCAACAAGGGAACACCTTCAACTTAAGGACCAGGGGATTAGAAAGGGCTACCTGACGCTGCACAAGAGATTGGTGGCATGGTGTGAGAATGGGAGTGTTTAACTACAGTATAAAGTGAAGGTTTGTCAAAGCAATTTGGCTCGACATGTACCAGTGGGGGGACAGCTTAGGGCAGTGGTTCTCACTTCTCAACTTTTTTTGGACGAAGAACAGTTTACATTCTCCACCAAAATCTCACAGCCTAATTTTAGTAGGTGGCATTTTATCGGTGGGTTGGGGTGGATGTCGGAGGGTTTGTAAGTTATTGTCAAAAACGTGGTTGAAAGTAACTAATATCATATTTTTTAAATGAAAAATAATCTTCCCGTTTTTTT